GGGCCCTGCTGAATGAATTCAACTCAAATCTTCTTCAGCCAGAGGAAAAGTTTATTAGTGATAAGTCACAGAGGCCAGGTGACACGCATAAGGACAGGTGGGAATGAGAAAGGCTCAGCCTTTTGAGCGTGAGATTCTCAGCCTCTGAATGAGGGCCAAGGTGGATCTTAAATACTAAAGTAACTTTGGGTGGCCAGAGAAGGGGGCTGGGAACAGGGTCTAGGTAAGAACTCTAATTGGGGAGGTCTGAGAGATTGAACAGACTATGGGAGTAGACAATGGAGGGAACAGGAAGGCAGAAGTTTGAAAGACATCTGCACAAAATCAAGGTGGGGCTAGGACTTTCAAAAGGAGATAAAGGAAGGACTTTCTGGGGCCTACAGACAAAAGGGAGCCAGATCTGAATAAGATTAAAAGGTAAGGCTAAGGCTTTCAAAGGGAGATGAGGGTCTGGGGCCTGTGAGTCAGATTCCCTTTGGGGCAAAGGGTGAAGATCTTGGCTTGGGCCCCACCCCCATCATCAGGTGCTGAAGTTCTTCTCAGATTCCCACAATCCTTTGGGTCACCTATGCAAATAGAAGAGGGAAGGTAGATACAAAAACCTGATGGAATCCCTCAGAAGCATTGTCCTCCTCTTCAATATTTTGTTCTAAATTCCTGCCTTTATCATGTTTATGTGTTCTTGTTATTCTTTGGCACAAAACCCCTTTTGGGGTTTTCTTGGCAAAGATACTGGAGTGGTTTGCCATTTCCTTCTTTGGCTAGTTTTACAGATGAGGAACCTGACACAAACAAGGTTAAGTGACTTGCCCAGGGTCACACAGCTAGTAAGTGTCTGAGGCCATATTTGAATTCAGGAAGATGAATCTGACTCCAGGCCTAGTACTCTATCCACTACACCATCTGGCTGCCCAGATTATGTTTATGTGCATGCCTACTAATCTTCAAACTGCAGACTTGCCAGCCATTGAAACTGGTTATCTTGTTTAAATTGTATGTAAGCCTTCTGCTTAGGTTGAATCAGTTTGGCTGAAATGGCTGGAATAAATTTAGAGCCTGGGCCTTTCATCAGAGGTGCCAGTGGGCTCAGCATCACCCCAAGACTAGCACTTTGGAATGATCAGAACCAAGCTGAGTCTCCAAAGTCCTTTCCAGCTGAAGCATTCATTCTGTGAATCTATGAACAGAGTTCTATAGGATCAGGTCTAAGAAGACCATTAGATAAGGTAAACCAAACCATTGTCTAAGTAAAATGTGAGAAAGTTGTTTTTATAATGCCAGTGGTATGTCTAGAGAGGGATCCTTTTGTGCTGCACTAACTGTGCTTTCTGAAAAGAATATGTAGGTAAATAAGACCATGGTGAGCTCCAAGCAGTCCTACTTAATCTTATTTTGTAAGGAGGATTATAAAGCAGAGTGGGGAAAATGGGGCAGGGCCTCTGGGCTTGAATTTCTGGAAGGGTCTTAGGGCAGAGCACTAGTGGAGGGAGAATAGGATCATAGAAGTGGGAAGGTGCTGTGGAAACATTTAAAACCTGTTTTAGTAAAACTGAAAATATTAAGAAGCAATACTTTCCTCTGAAGCCCTTTCCAGACTCCTGGGAAAAGTCCCTAGGAAAGCTGGGATAGGCCAGAACAAAAGGGAAAAAGGAAAGCCCTTCCTTAAGAGAATAGAAAAATTAGCGATAACCAAATTTAACTCCCAGTCTTATTCATTTCCTTGCCTCCCCACCCACCTAAAGTGATTGATTCTCCACAGAGAAAAGATTAAGCAATGTAGGTTCCATCAATTAGTTTAATTCCTAGAGCTAGCATAATGGTATGAGAGGGAATTAGAAAGTGACTTGGTTGTTCAATTCTGAAATGTAAACTCTGAGTGTATTTGTAAGATATTTCTTTCCCTCTTTTAAGATTTTTATCTTACCTGAAATTATCTCAGGGCAGAGTTCCATCAGATAACACTGGGGACTATGCCAGTCTGGACATCTTTCCAATCTAAAAATGGCTGGGATATAGATTAATGTTAAATAAAATTGTTTGAGGGGTAGACTTGTGCCTAAATCTGAGTACAGTGTATTAGTTTTTTTCTTCCATAGAATTTAGGAATAACCTGGTGGTCAGCCTTTTGGATCACTATGGCTCTGTAACACAGCGATTTATCTAAGTCCCCCAAGCTTATTTATATTCCCAATGTATGGCATCTCATAAGGAATAAATTCTCTTAAGTTTTCCTCTAAAGGACATATTGAGAGGGAACATGGTATAACGGAAGAATGAATGCTGGACTTGGAATTAGCAGATCTAAGTTCAAATCACATGTCTCAACTCAACCTCTCTGGGTAAAATGATGTGGTTCAACAGAATGACATGTAAGGTCCTTTCTGGTACTAAATCTATGATCCTAAGTAGGAAGGCCTGTGATTTATATGTGTTGTCTCTCCCAGTAACAATGTGAGCTACTACTTATGAACAGAGACTGTTTAACTTTTTTATATTCTCAGTGCTGAGCACATTCATAAACAACATTTATGTCATAATAAGTCTAATGTAACACGATAAGAGCTTAATAAATGATTTTTCATCCATTCATTTATCATAGCACAGAGTTGGCCTTGGGCTCTTGAACAGGACAGTGGTTTGCAAACTACCTACCAAACTGGGAAGGCTTTGTGCATGGGCCAGGGACACCAAATTTGTCTGTGATCTGAGGATCAGCCAAGCTAAGGGCATTATTATCAGAAAGGCACAAAATGATAAGGTTTTGGTTTTTTTTCCCCTCAAATATAGCAATCACAAAGTTCTGCCCCAGACATGGAAGGAATAATAATTTTGTTGTTCAGTCATTTTTCAGTTGTATCAGATGCTGTGTGACCCTATTTGGGCAAAGATACTGGAGTGGTTTGCCATTTCCTTCTCCAGCTCATTTTACAGATGAGGAAACTGAGGCAAACAGGGTTACACAGCTGGTAAGTGTCTGAGGCCAGATTTAGATTCTTGAAGATGAAGTTTCCTGATTCCAGGCTTGGTACTCTATCCACTGTGCCAAAATAGCTAGCATTCATCTACATGAGTGCTTTAAGTTTGCAAAGAGCTTTATTTACATCATTTAATTCTCATAACAATCCTGGGAGTTAGGTGTTATTATTGCCATTTTGTAGATGAAGAAACTGAGGCTAATAGAGGTTAAGTGACTTGCCCAAGGTCACACAGTATCAGCGGTAGGATTCAGAACGTCTTCCTGACTCCTAGTCCAATACACTATGCACTAGGCCACCTAGCTGCTTATAGAATACCCCACACTAAAGAAATTTTACCTCTTTGTAACTTGAGGGGGAAGTCCCTCTTTCTGGATGAGAGATGCAAGTTCACATCCCATATGGTGGCCAGGACATAGATTTTTATAGAACTACATCACATCTTCAGAACATGAGACTTACTAGATTTGGAGAGGTCTCAGCCTCATAGAATGGCAGTCCTTAAGGAACTTAGAAATCATCTAGTCAAACTTTTCCACTTTACAGATAGGTAAACTGAGGCTCAGAGAGAGAGGCATTATCTTGCTCACAGTCACACAGAGAGACTGGTAGTTCTGGGAACAGTTCTTTAGTCTCCTAAATCCAGATCCAGTGTTCTTTCTTCTACACCATGCTGCTTCCCATCTGGACTTCCCTTGGGGATCTCATCAGCTTCCATGAATTCAACTGTCATCTCTATGCCTATGATTCTCAGATCTATTTATCCAGTCCTGACTTCTCTCTAAACTTCCAGTTTGGCATCTCCCATCTCCTATTGGACATTTTGAACTGGATGTTCCATACACATCTTAAATTCAACATATCTAAAACTGAACTCTTCATCTTTCCCCACAAATCTTTTCCTAATTTCCCTATTCCCACATAGCCAATCCATTGTCAAGTCCTGTTGTTTTTACCTGGTAACATTCCTCACCCTGGCCCCTTTCCCACCTCTGACGTTGCCACCTCCCCAGCCCAGGCCTCAGCACTTCACAGATGGACTATTGCAGTAGCCTGACGGTTAGTCTCCCTGCCTCAAATCTCTCCCCCTCCAGTCATCTTCCATTTAGGTGTCAAAGTGATCACCTTAAACAATGCTAGCCTTCTACTCAATAAATTGCAGCGGGGCTCCCCGATACTTCCAGGATCAAATGTAAAATCCGGTGTTTGGCTTTTAAATTAAAGCCCAAAGTAGCCTAGCTCTTTCCTACATTTTCAGTCTTCTTACACCCCAAGTAATCTTAAAAACAGTTACACTGGCCTCCCTTCTGTCCCTTACATGAGATTCCCCTTCTAACTCCTGAGTGTTCCCCAGTAGTGCACTCCATTCTCTTCTCCCTGGCCTCCTGCAAGCCTAAGCTAAAGTCCTGCTTTCTACAAGAAGCCTTCCCCACTCCTCTTAATCTCGGTACCTTTCCTCTGAGACTTATCCCCAATTTTTTCTGTGTCTTGTTTGTACGCAGTTGTTTGTATGCTTCCGTCATCAGACTGGGAGCTCATTGAGGGCAGGGTGTTTTGTTTTTTTTTTTAATCTCCAGCACTTGGCACAGTGCATGGAACATACTAGATGCTTAATAAATGCTTGTTCACATGTTTCCCTAGTATGAGACAGAGCTTTAGAAAAAGAATTCAGGAATGCGGTTTTCAGTCTGGGTCAACAATCTTTTTCTTTTTCTGGGCTTCAATTATTCCAACTGTAAAATGGATGGGTGAAGTTAGCCTTAAGGATCACTAAAATCCTGCCAGCTCTGACATACAGCGATTCTCTCTCCCCCAAAACCTGTCCACCCGCACCCAAAGGAGTGTATCTTAGACACAGATGACTGCCTGTAAGAGCCAGGGCTGGGGGCGGGGCTCAGCTTCAGGTACTTCCGGTACCTGGTCCTCGTTCCCTTCCTATGCTACCATAGAGTCAGGGCTGATGAGCTAGAGCTGCCACTATGGAGTCGCCCCGGAAGTTCCCGCGTGACCCCGGATGTAGCCTCTGCCCCGCGGGTCTGGGCGGCAGCGGCGGCGTCGTGGCTATGGCGGTCGGCGGTGGGCGGCAAGGAGGCGGTGAGCTGGTGGCTGCTCCTAGCCCGGCCTCCTGACGTGCCTCGGCCGCTAGCCCGGTCCGGCAGCTGCCATGTACCCGCCGTCTCCGAGGCAGGACTTCTTCGCGGTGACTCTGAACTTGGGGGAGCGGTCCCAGGGCGGCGGCGGCGGGAGCAAGTACTGGAGGCGGCGGCGCCTCTGCTGGCGGGTGAGGCCCGGGCCGGAGGGGCCTGAGGGGCTGGGGGTGGGGGGACCCGGGGAGGGGGACGGAGCAACCACAGCTGCTGCGGCAGGGGCTGGGGAGGGGCGGGGAAGAAGGCTCTGGGGGTCTGGAGCGAGTCCGCGGCGTTGAAGGTTTGGGAAGAGAAAAGGGTACTGGGTGCCTGAGGTAGCGGCTGCTTATTCGTTTGAGGTCCGGGGGCAGCAGTGGGGCTGGACGTGGAGGGAGCCCAGGGTTGGGGGTGTGGAGAGCGAGGAAGGGACTACGGATCTGGGGGGCGGGGCAGCAGTGAGGCTGGGAAAGGCCTGGAGTAGGGGCATGGGAGGGAGGAGGGAGCACGGACCCTGGGAGAAGGGGCAGACAACACCTGTGGGTGGGGAGGGGAATGGAGGTGTCCCGAGTGCACCGGGCCCCGGGGAAGGGCAGGGCAGGGCCTGGTGGGAGGAGTGGGACCCGATGGTAAAGTGTGCTGGGACTTTAAGCGTGTGGGGATCGGGGAGGGGGAAAGGGCTGGGGACTGTGGACTGGGGGAAGAGTCAAGGTGGGGCCAAGGGTGTGAGCGAGACCCAGGGCTATGTGCCCTGGAGGTGGTATTGGGACTGGAAGCGCAAGGGTGAGAGGTGCTAAGGAAGTTCTCCTTATGCTGATAGGAGAGGTCAGGCTCCTGGCTGGGGAGGAGAGAGTGTTTGAGGGGTGGGGTTATTGCAGATTGGAGAGGAATCCCTGGCTGCTGTCTGGAAAGGCCTGGGTGGATTTTCTTAGTGGGAATGATGAAAGAGCCGGCCTTGAGAAAGGGGGGGGGAGGCGGAGTTCCTGCTAACTGGTGAGGTCTTACCCAGAGAATGGGGGCACTGCTAAACAAGGAGGGCTTGCAATAAAGGGTGGAGAAATGGAGAAAGTTTCATTTAGTGCATGAAGCTGGGGATCAAGTTGGGTTTGGGAACTGAGCTGGGCATCTCTTACAGGTAAGGCCTGAGGCGTAGGAGAGATGGGAGAGTGAGGCCTGAAACAGAGAGCTTGTGTGAGAGGGCTGGGAGAATAAAGGAGCAGGTGCTAAGAGTAAGTGAGAGAACTGTTCAGTCCTGGTTCTGGGGCAATAGCAGGGCTGGGGAGGACCTGGAGTGGGCACACGATTAGGGGCATGGACAGGGAAGAATCGACTAGGGACATAGGGTATGAGGCAGCGGTGAAGTTGGGGAAGAGATAGGGTCCTGTGATTCTGAATTAATTCCTTAACCACTTTGAGCCTTAGTTTCTTCATTTATGAGATAGGGACAATAATATTTAGGCATAAAACTATGTAGATTTGAGTTTTTATTATCATTTTGAGGAAAGATTAGAATCTTGGTAGATTGGAGGGTTGATTGGTGGAGGACAGTGTTACTGAACTGAATTACTGAGGGGTGTTGGAAAGACAGTAAATTCTTGACTGTATGAAGTGGGAGAGTTGGAGTGGGGACAGGCCACGGAGCTGTTTAGGGAGGGAGGGAGTCAGGAAAGAACAGAAAGCTGTGTTTTTGGTCACGAGTGGGAGATGGATCTAATCTGGTTCAAGAAATAGTAATATTTGTTCCATTCTCTTTCTTACTTCCCTCATGATCAACTATACTGTCAATTTACCCATTCCTCTGAGGCCTAGAGTAAGGTGGACTTACTTAAGGGAATCACCAGAGAATTGTACCTCCCCCAAGAAAGACAGGAAACTTGCTGTCCTGCCATACATAACACTAACTTGGGGGGGAAGCAGAATACAAAATTCACAATACAGAGATAGCTGGAAAGTAAGATTAGACAGAGCATGGAAAAGAAAACAAAATATTTTCTAAAGAAATTACTGCATGAGTACATCAAGGAACTATTGCCCATGATAGATGGGTAGTGTTTGGTTATACCATTGATTAGTAAACAGAGTGCTGGACTTGGAGACAGTGAGACCTTAATTTGAAATTAACATCAGATGATTACTAGTGTCTGGACAAGGTACTTTAATGTGTCAGTCAGCCTCAGGATTCTTACTTTTATAATGAGGATAATAACACCTGCCTCACTGAGGATCAAATGAGATGATGTGTGTAAAGCACTTTGCAAATATTAAAGTGTTGTATAAATGCTATCTGCTATTTATTATTATGATTATTGATATTAGTAGCAGTTACAGAGGCTGTAGCAGCTCTACTGTCCAGTAAGGCCCAGGCTGGAGCGGACCCTGAGCGTCAGGGCAGGGGTAGTAGTCTTAATAAAGTATGAGTGGCAGTAGCACCAGTAAGAATAGTAATAATGACTGCAAGGGGTCCCTACCTCCACTTATTTACAGTTGTAGAAAATTAGTTAACTACTGGGAAGAACTGATGTTGGTGATAGGGATAGAGAGGGAGGTGGTACTGGACTTGGGCCTGATAAAAGATGGGACCTGGCCAGGCAGAAAAGGGGCTTTGGGGTGGTGTGAGTAGAAGGAAGAGGAAAGTTGAAGGATGTGTTTGCTAGAGGATTGGACCAAGACCAGTCACATAGAAGAAATGAAGAAGCATTGAGTTTGGAGAGTAAAAGGGAAATTGTGTGTGTTCTAGGGCAGGAGGAACCAAACTTAATTACCTGCCCCTTTCTTTCTCCTTCAGTCCCCTCAAAGATAAGGGTTAGTATTGAGAGGTATATTTGCTTTTTAGGGAACAGGAATATTTTCTTCTTCTCTTTGACATTGCTGTTCAACCTTGCAGAATAGAAACAGCAAGTTAACTGGTGGGGAGTCCTTGCTGTTAGGTATTCTATCTTTTCTGAGGAAAGCTGTGCTCCATAGCCACCTGTGACCCCACTACCTACTTAAGTTGAGTGCTGACAGACAAACCTGTCTCTGAATTGATGCCCACAGTGTCATCTAGTCACACTTCTGGGCAGCCCATTGCCAGATCTTTAAGAGACTGATGGAGCTGGCGAGTTCTCCTGGGATACAAGAGGTGTTTTGTTTGTTTGTTTTTTGGTAAGGCAGTTGGGGTTAAGTGACTTGTCCAGAGTCATAAAGCTAGTAAGTGTTATGTATCTGAGGCCAGATTTGAAAGTTTTTTTTTATAAGAGGGTTTTGAAAGACTACTTCTAGAACAAAGACAGCTTGAACACCTGTTTATGGTCATTTAGCATGCTATTTGAGGAAGCTTCCAGTTTCATTTCTGTGTATTATACAATATCATGCCCTGTGCCACCCCCAATTCCATGCCCCAGGCTGAATGGTTTTTTTGGGGGGGCTTGGGGTTTGGTTTTGGTTTTTTGCTATGTCACTCTTCTTCTCAAGAAGTTCTAGTATCAGCTTCTTTTATTTTTAAAATTTTTTTTTCTTTTTCTTTTTTATTATTTTTTTAGGCAATTGGGGTTAAGTGACTTGCCCAGGGTCACACAGCTAGTAAGTGTCAAGTGTTTGGTCTGAGGCCAGATTTGAACTCGGGTCCTCCTGACTTCAGGGCCGGTGCTCTATCCACTGCGCCACACAGCTGCCCCTAAAAATTTTTTTCAAGATACACCTCCACACTCCATTCCCCCTCTCCCCAAATTGAGAAAGTAAGAAATGCAAATTCCCATGTCCAAAAAAAATATGTGGAGTATTTTGTTATGTTTTTTACTACAACTTTGTTTACAATGGTTAGAGATGTACTATAGATTGACTTCCATTATTTCCTTGACCTATCTCTTCCTGTTCACTATGATATTCTACTTAAAGGATGGCATGTTTGAGTATATTATTACTGGCTATAAAGTCTTTGAGGACCAGGACTCTCTTTTATATTTGTGCCCCCATTTCCTGGTATATAGTAGGTGCTTAATAAATGCTTCCTTGCTTGATCAAATTAAACAACATTAGGACCTACTATATATAGTACCCTAAACCGTATAGTGTCCTAGATTCTAGGGATACAAAGCTGAAAAAAAGAACTTACTGTATGGGGGCTCAGAAATGTACACAAATAATTGTTGTAATCAAGTTCACACATCCCCCTTAGTGTCCTAATGAGAAACATGACTCATTTAATGCTCTTATGTAAACCAAACATAAAGGAAATAAGTTTACTTCCTGAGCACCTATACCTGATGACTCTTTTCCCAGTGAGTTTGACTAGAAAGAGTTTTGAAATAAGTTATTTATTCTCATCTGGCATGTTCCAGCACGTTATGTTATCGTCCCTATCCAAACAGGGTATATAACATGTTCAGAAATAATTTATTCTTGTTCAAAGTAAACAACAGAACTTAGCACTTGCATTCTTTCCCCGGACTATTTTTGGAATGTGGTAGAGATTTTTCAGTAGCTCTATTCAGTTACTGTGTTATCTTCAGTAAAAAAAAGTATTTTTTTCTCTTTTTTTCTAGAAATGGAAACAGTTATCACGACTGCAACGGAATATAATTCTTTTCTTCTTTGCCTTTCTTGCTGTCTGTGGACTCATTTCCTACATCAATATGGCTAACCACGGGAGAGGTATCAGAACAGTTTGCATCTAAAAGTTATTTTTATGTTGCATGTTGACTAAGCAGGAGATGAGTTCTAGAGTGAATTAATGAGTCTGTGGATAACATGACATGGCACCAGATTGGTGAACCACCAAGGTCAGTAGAGATGCTAGACTGCTTGCCTCATTGGCTTTATGGAAAAGGTCTAGATGTTGATTTGTCATAATCTGGTTGCTTTCCTAGTATTTTTTTATTATTCATTCCATTTTAAATGTAGTTAAAAGTTTGTTGGGTGTTTTAGTATGGAAGTCATTGAAGAAAACCAATTTGATCATAATTCAAAATTATGTTTCTTTAATATTTGTATTCATAATAGAAGGCTGTTCTAGTAAGGTATTAGATCCCTTTTAAATTTGCTAATTATAGTCACTTTCAATGGGAGAGACTAAATCTGTTCCAATTTTCCAGGAGAAATTGCTAACTTGCCTTTATTTTTTATTTGGCTTTGAAAAGTAATAGTTTTGTCAGAATATTGTGAACTCAGGCAAGCCTTTTGGAGGTGAGTGATTATCATTCATCTCTTCTTGACTCTATAAAAACTTTCCTGGGAGAATATATTTCTGTCGTATATGGGTAATAAATGTTGGAGTTTTTTTCCTAATGATTTTTAATCAATGTTACTCCTCAAAGCATTTTATATACTAAGATGTACTTTCATATGTAGCCTTCACCAGCAGATCATCAGAAGAACAGAAGATAGAACTTGACATTCCTGAACTAAATCCAGCTGTTTTAGCAGCTCCTCAGAAAGCAGATGCTAATCAGGGTGACTTTCCTGAGATTTTGCCTCAGGTATTTTACAGACTTTGTTATAATGGAAGCTGTGGTAACCATGTAGTCAGCTGTAGTGGTGTAAATAATAATAAATACAACAACAGTAATAGTATTTATAGAGCCTACTATGTGCTAGGCACTCTGCTAAACACTTTACAATTAGTATCTAATTTGATCCTCACAATAACCTTGGGAGGTAGGTGTTATTATTATCCCCGTTTTACTTTTGAGGAAATTGAGGCAAACAGCTTAAGTGACTTGCCCAGGATCACACAGCTGGTAAATGTCTTGAGACTGCATATGAATTCAGTCTTCCTGAAAGCAGGCCAAGCATTTTATCCACCGTGCCACCTTAGCTCTAGTTCAGCTAAAAGTTATTGTTTTAGAGTAGCATTGCATGCTATCATTTCTGCACTTTACTCTCTAAGTTTGTTTGAAGTATGAGGGTACACTTCTTCCCAAAGGTGCTAAGAATGCCATAGTTTCTTAAAGTGCATTAAAATTCAATGTGTTTTGATGATGGTATGATAACCTCTTAGAAGGAGATATTGAGGGGAAGGGGTGTTTCAAAGCAAGGCTAGGAGGAATGCCAGAATAGTTGCTAGAATATGAGCTGGGAGGGGCTTCTAAGACGTAATTTAAAACTCTTTGTTCTACAGATAAAGACCCTGAGGCCCAGAGAGGCCAAGTAGCTTGTCCAAAGCATGTAAGACATCATAACTAGTTTTGTAGGTAGAGACGTTCTCAGAAAAAAAGCGTTTCTGTTTACATTTATTTCTATTAAATGTCTGTTTAAATCAGTTTTCCCATTGATTAATTCAAAGGCATTTCAAAAGTGCTATATTTTTACATTTTATTTACCTCTTAAGACTTGAGTTAGAAATGTTTTTCCTCCATTACAGTTTCTTAATGAGATCTGTAAACAAACCCTTAAATATACTTTGGGAATTATGATGTAAAGAGCACAGAGCTATGATGAATTTTTCTTCAGTTGTGAAGAGTTTCCTCCGAATTTATCATTTGGTTCTGCAAATATTGCTATCTCAAAGTCCAGGGAGATTTGTATGCCATAGTTTATTTGAGTACCTTTTACTTAGTTAATCTTATCTAATCCATAACCTTGAGCTTTCAGAATATGCCCTTTTTTGCAGCTCTTAAGAATGATCTCTTGAAATTTAATGTAACTTCTGAAGTATAGTTGATTTAATGGAAGAAACATTTGTGAGGTTATATAGAAACTACTAAAAGAGACTGGCACAGTGCTTCATTAATGGCTATAAGTACTTTTTGTGTGTGCTTGGGAAAAAAAAATATTGTTGGTTTCTAAGGGTACGGTACATTTCTAAGCTTATTGTCATCTTTAAAGAGGAGAAAAGCACATCATTGATTTTATTGGGCCCATTTTTGTCCATTAATGCTCTGTAATTTTGTGAAAGGAACATGTGAATTTTTTTCCCCCCTTTGCAAGTACATTTTTATTGCTTAAAAGCATTATGTAAGCCAATCTTCTGGAAGTCATTTGGGGGATGAATGTGGAGGGGGCGGTATGGCAGGAAATGAGCTTTCTTTCATATGTTCTATTTGGAAGAGTTGCATTTTCTCAGTGCTTTTTGCATGTAAAAAATGAACTAAATTGGGGACATTATGTTCCATAGAGGTCCTTACTGGTGTTTTTTTTGTTTTTTGTTTTTTTCCACTTATTGTAGACTTGTAGCAGTTTTTGTAAATGGCTTGTGTGGGTAACGATAGTGTATCTCTGCAAAAGGATGCTTCTAACTCTACAGCTATCAGGGGTTGAGTTCAGAGGGTAAAGCTTTAAAGGATGAGCCCTTCTCCCTTTTCTGAAACATACCACTAGAATTTCATCATTTTTAGTTTGGAGAGTCAACTACATGCAGCCTCAGCTGTACGGTAGACTGAATCTGTATATTTTGAACTCAAGCAGCCATTGTTGGCCCTTTATTACAGTGTGGGTGGAGAAGAGGAAGGGTCTAGTACAAGTTTGGCAAGCTAAAAATCCATGTAGAGCTGTATGAGAGTGAGAGACAGATAGGGCCACATAAAGCTGAGAAAAACCAATTCCAGTTCTGGAAGGAAATGTCTAGGTCTAAAGTAACAGGTCTGGAAGCATTCTTTTGCCACCTTCTTTACTTTGCTACATTATCTAATCCTTTTTTCATCTAGGAGTCCATAGCAACTTTTAGGGATGTACCTTTAGGGAATTGGGCATTCATGCTTAAATTAATATAGGCATTTTCACCATGAATGAAACAGTGCTGTTCTCCTCATTTCAAATTTGTGATACTAGCCTTCAGGGCTTTTGGTGTTGGAACTCTATATCTGCTAGACTGCTATTTGTAGGTTTTCAGGGTGTCAGCAGATAACTTACTACTTGCATGGAGGAAGTTATCAAGGGGGAAGCCTTTAGAATTTCTGTCAAGCTGTGCTGGTTAGTCTGATAGTTTCTCTTTTGTTTTAGCCATGTCATAGAAACAAGGATCTGAAGCTTTATGGGCACCTGAAACTGTATACTATTTTAATAATTTTCATGTTTTCTTTGATGTAAGCTACTCTGCTGTGCTTGAGAATAGGGATATTAAAAAACCCCATTAGAGTAGGTGCAATTAATTTCATGGGAAGTGCTTACATCTCTTACAGAAAACTCGAAATCCTCGTCGAGGGAGGCTTGTGAATCTACAGATCAAAGCTCCACAGGAAGATCTGAAGGAAAGGTCACATGATGATGACACCAAGAGGCTGGAGGAGGAACATGGCCAGGCCAGCAAGGAGAATAAATCTGAGAGGACTGTTATTAGGTATCATAACAATATCTTGTTACTTGTTGCAAGACAAAACATAGATATTAGGATGGTTTGAGCTTTGCTTTTTGGAAAGAAAATCTCACCATCACCCCCCCCCCAAAAAAAATAACCCAGAAAACAAAAACCAACTTATCTTTTGCCTTGTCCAGACTATATATTATCTATTGATTCTGCCTTATGGGTTAATAATTATGCAGGTTACATGAAAAATAAAAACCAGAAACAGCTAGTCTAGAAGCCTTTCCCAGAATGCAAAACCCCTAGTAGTTTTTTCTCTTTTGAATCCATTAGCTATTACATTTTGAGATGGAATAAGGTGAGGTTTGGGGGTTTTGTTTGGTTTTTGTGGAGGGGAGAGTGTAAGTGGGGACAAGGAGTCAAAGTTAGGAGATGGAATGGAACCTCCACACACATTGGTGAATATTTAATCTGTCTTTCCTCTATCTTGTGGGTAGAGCTACTCTTCTAAGATGAATGCTTTGAGTTATTGGCAGCTTCCTGCCATTTAGGTTGCTTATGAGAGTTGTGGAGGTGGCATTCTCTTCCCATTAGCTGAGCACTTTCAGTTCTCTGGGCAGTTGTAAATTGTTTCTAGTTCTCACAACGATGGTGTGTATCATTTACCTGGCAGCGTTTTTTATGCGGAAAACCTTTATGCTATGCAGGTTTTTTTTTTCATTCTAAATTTTTAAAATTTTTTTGAATTATCAGCAATCACTTCCTTAAGCTGTTGAGTTTTAAATTTTTCTTGCCCTCCCTCCCCAAGATGGCAGGCAATCTGATATAGGCTATACATGTATATTCCTATTAAACATATTTTCATATTAGTAATGTTGTAAGGAAGAATTAGAACCAATAGGAGGAATCATCAGAAAGAGGAAACAAAACACAACAGAAGAAAAAAAATAGCAAATAGTATGCTTTGATCTGCATTCGAACTCCGTAGTTCTTTCTTTGTGGATAGCATTTTCCATCATGAGGCGTTTGGAGATGTCTTAGATCCTTGTATTGCTGAGAAGAGTTAAGTCTATCAAAGTTAGTCATCACACAATGTGGCTGTTACTGTGTACAGTGTTCTTCTGGTTCTGCTCACTTCACTCAGCATCATACCATACAAGTCTTTTCAGGTTTTTCTGAAGTCAGCCTGTTCATCATTTCTTATAGCACAATGGTATATTACATTACATTCATATACCACAACTTTTTCAGCCATTCCCCAATTGATGGGTATCCTCTCAATTTCCAGTTCTTTGCCATCACAAAAAGAGCTGCTATCAATATTTTTGTATATGTGGGTCCTTTTCTCATTTGTATAATCTCTCTGGGTTGTAGCCCTAGAGGTGCTGTTGCTGGGTCAAAGGGTATGCACATTTTTATAGCCCTTTGGGCATAGTTCCAAATTGCTCTCCAAAAGGGTTGGATCACTTCACAACTCCACCAACAATGCATTAGTGTTCCAATTTTCCCACATCTCCATCATTTATCATTTTCCTATTTTGTCATGTTGGCCAATCTGATAGATTTGATGTGGTACCTCAGAGTTGTTTTGATTTGCATTTCTCTAATCAGTAGTGATTTAGAGCATTTTTTAGTATGACTGACTATAGATGGCTTTAATTTCTTCATCTGAGAACTGTCTGTTCATATCCTTTGACCATTTATCATTTGGGGGATGACTTGTATTCTTATAAGTTTGACTCAGTTTTCTATATATTTTAGAAATGAAAAAGGGTTTTTTTTTGTTTTGCAAGGCATTTGGGGTTAAATGACTTGCCCAGGGCCATACAGTAACGAGCATTTTTATTGTATTCTGTGCTTGCAAGCAAATAAAAAGAAACAGCATTGCTCATATGATAGCAAAATATTCCACCTCTGGTACAATAAGCCTCCCCCTAGCATTGGCATAAAAAGCAGAATTCTAGGTTTGTAGCTTATTGAAATAGTAATTAGTTTCCTTTTGGTCAGTGGAAATACTTTCTCCCTCCTATCTATATCATGATGTTCTTTTGCTAAATGGTAGGGCTCACTAAGCTTTAGAAAACCAAAAACTTTGTCCTGCAGCAGAGTGTCTTAATGATTATCCTTTTGTTCTTGGTGAAAATAATTAGTAGCAACAACTGGTATCCTGCTATGGTCAAGACTGTGCTGGGATCCTTATGCTAACTCCTCTTTTACCCTTAAGAGTGATCAGTTCACAGAAGTTTGAACTCTCATTGAAAGGCTGTGGTTGTTTTGTCATTCCCTAAAGACATCATCCTGAACTGATATCCCCAGGGAATCTTACCTACCTTAAATACAACCCATTCTGTACAGTCTTCTTTGCATTGTGCCACATAATTTAGTATGTATTAACTGTCTTGTATTATTCCCTGTGTTCTCTAATAAGACTTAAGCTTCTTTGATGTAGAGACTAATACTACAGCTTCTAGTGGAGAACCAAACAAATAGGTGCTTAATTACTTGATAAATTTCATGTTCTTAAATCATTTTGATTATTGTTTCCCTGTCTATTATAGCTGGAGAGGTGCGGTGATTGAGCCTGACCAGGGCACAGAACCCCCTTCCAATAAAATACAAGACCCAGGTCACAGGTCTTCAACAGCAGAAATTAAAAGCCAGAAGAAACCAGGTAGCCCTCTCTCTTTCTGTGTTTTTGTTATTTATTCTTACATTAAAGTTGAGTTGTAATCTATTTGATAATATTTTATTGTGTGTTTTTGTATCTGCTTTAGGGAAATTGGGCTTTTTCTTTCTTAATCTGTATTTTAAACATGTTTCAATGACAAAGAAAAATTCTTTTTAACATATAAAAGCAAGCAGAACAAAACAGATTTCTGCATTGGCTGTCTCTGAAAATGTGTGTTCTGCAATTTTAGTCCATCTCTCCTTCAGGGACTAGTTAGCATACTTCATCAGTCTTGGAAACTTGGTTGGTCATAGCATTGATGAAATTTCTCATGTCTTTTGAAGTTATTTTGTTTTAAACACTGATATTGTATAACTTATCTTGACTTTGCTTCACTGCATCAGTTAATACGGATCTTCAAAGGTTTCTCTGAAACCATCCCTTTCATTACTTCTGATGGGACAATATTACATCATGTTGATGCACCATAATTTGTTCAACCATTCTCCAGTTGATGGGCATTTCCTTAGCTTCCAGTTCTTTGCTTTAACAGAGAGCTGCTGTAAATATTTTTGCACATATGGGTCCTTTTCCTTTTTCTTTGATCTTTTTAATGGGGGCATAGGCCTAGTAGAAGTCAAAAAGAACACACATTTAGTGTTGTCTTGATCAGTGTCATATTTACTTATAAAAACAATTGGATAGGGTTCTGTCTTCATATATATAAATAATCTGTGTGATAATTATGGATTATTTATTCTTGGAAAGTTTAAAAGAATTTGGCTGTGAATCTTTCCAGGACAGGTTTTTGTTTTTATTGTGAAATTTTTTTGGGTTACTTTTAAAATCTCTTCAGCCAAGATAGATCAATGTATTTAATTTCCTGTTGTGTCATTTTGAGTAATTTAATTTTTTTAGGTAACCATTTATTTTCTTTACATTCTCCAATTTGTTAGATTATAGCTTTGTTTTTGTGTCCACCTATTGTGTTCCCCAGACTTAATTTCTTTTGTGTTGTGATCTCTTCTTTTTTCATTTGGAATTGTACCTGTTTGTATCTTTTTTCTTCTTTTTCTGTTAAATTTGTCAATTGTATTGGCCTTGTTTTATTCAATCATTCTTTCATTTTCCATTTCATGTATTTTGTTAATTACACAATTTTTTCTTGTCTCCCAGATGAATTCACAGATAAACAGTTTTAAAATTTTCTAAGATGGTATAATCTACATATTATAGATTACTAAAAAATAAAGAAATGAAATACTATCCAGCACTTTTTATGAGGCAGATATGGTGTTGATATTTAAACCTGCCAAAAATAAAACTAAAAAAGGAAATCTTAGAAAAAATAAGTTTTTTTTAATGAACAGTTACAAAAATACTAAATAAAGTATTAGATTATAGTAATATATTTTAAAAAGTTACTTATTATGCCAACCAGGGTTTATACCATTATTTGTAGGTGGTGATATTTATCTGGAAAATATAACTGTCTCAGCGGAATCTACCTAGACAAGACTTTAAAAAAGAGGACTATAAAAAAATGAGAGTGAAATATCTTTATCTTATTTAGGAAGGGAAGATGCCTTTTTAAAGTTCCCAAATAAAAGGAATTATTAGAGCCAAGATGGGTGTGCCTTTGATGTACATAAAATAATTTTAAAAATGAATAATAGGGGAAGTATTTTTTGCAAAATTGAGAAAAACTATCTAAAATGTAGAATATTTCAAAGACCCTATTGAAATGATCCTTTCCACCCACTGTTATTTCTCCTTCCTTTGGATTTCTGGGATAACTTGGCTTGTATATTTCATGTGGCATTTCCATTCTATCTTGTCTTATAGTTTATTTTGTTCTTGTCTTTTTTTTTACTTGTATGTTACTAGCTCCTTGAGAGTAAGAATTGTCTCCTCATTTTGATATCTTTTTAACCATCTAGCTTTGTGCCTTTCACAGAGATGCATATATTTATTTATTAAATAGTTAAAGGCTTTCCATCAACTGAATAGAATAGATACATGTTATATGGAAAGAAATAACAAGAAGTAACAATTTTGCTCCTTAAATTATTGAGTTAAGGGGCATCTAGGTGGCGCAATGGATAGAGCACTGGCCCTGGAGTCAGGACTTGAGTTCAAATACAGCCTCAGAAATTTGACACTTGCTGTGGGAGCCTGGGCAAGTCACTTAACCCCGATTACCTCACCTCCCCCACCCCCCCCGAAAAAACTATTGAGGTGTAATATGATATGATTGATAAATAGACTAAGAATTCAGGGCTCAAATTTTAATTTCTCTTTTGCCACTTGCTATGGGATCCTGGAAAAGTCATATATCCTAGTCCTCAGTTTAAAAAGGGGATCGGGGGGAGTTGTTTTGAAACATTGCTGATTGAATGTAATGCTATCAAAGTACACAAAGACTGTAACATTGCAGATTCAGGAAAGTGGTTATGTGTTTGGCTGAAGTTTTGTCAGGTATAGGTAAGTTTAGTAGTAACTGGGGGGAGGTGTTAGCATCTCTGTAGGCATTTCTAAAACATGCATGCTTATGTTTTGGGACCCAGTACCTTATGATATAATTGGTTTGGTGATAACTTCTGGAGAGGAGGAAAGGGCATTTAGATCTGTCAAATGAGTGTCCCAGCTGCTGTAACCCTTAGGCTTAGGGAGGGCAGGGTCGTCTGAACCAGGAGGAGAGTTATGGCAACCAGGAGGTAAGTATAATACGATTTTATAGTTGGAAAGGAGGTTTAGTCCAATGCTCTCATTTTCTGGACTGGGAGATAGGCCTAGCAAGGTTAGTTGACAAAAAGTGACAGAGCTGGGATTCAAACCTTGGTCTTAAGGTTGTAATAGCATGTTCTTCTCCCTGTGCCCGTGTTCTCAAACCTTTTTGTCTCAGGACCCCTTTACAGATAAACCAAATTAAAAAAGAAAACTTATTGAGGATCCCTTCCCCCAGGAGCTTTTGTTTAGGTTGGCTATGTCTATCAGCATTTACTGTATTAAAATTTTAATGTCATAGTATTATTATGAAAATAGTTTTGACCTTGTGAACCCCCAGAAAGGGTCTCAGGGACTACAGTTTGAGAACCACTGCTCTATACTATATTTCTATAGTAGTCTTATGGGATTTTAAAGCTTTCTGTAGAACTCCTGAGCAGCCAGATTTCTTACCAGATTCATGGTAACCCTTACTTCATCTCAATTTAGCTCTTTTCCTCTTTTTTTTTCCCTCTGAGTTCTGAGGTAGAAGTGAAGTTCCTTATTTTTATCTTGGTTATGACAAGCGACGTCTCCCACTGTTGCCTCTGAATAGTAGAGGTTTAGAAAGCAGTGTCCATAGCAACCATAACTCCGCAGTAACAGATGGTCCTCCTGAGGATCTTGAGACTTGTTTATTATATTCAGTCAGATACTGTATTGAAAGACAATGTTCTCTTTAATCTTATAGTTCTCATCAACGAAAGACAAAAGGCTGTGATAGAAGCGTTCCGCCATGCATGGAAAGGATACAAAAAGTTTGCTTGGGGTCGTGATGAACTAAAGCCATTGACACATTCATTTAATGAGTGGTTTGGACTTGGTCTGACAATAATCGATGCCCTGGACACCATGTGGATTTTGGATTTAAAAGAAGGTATTTTTTATTGTTCATATCTCCTGGCTCTGCCTTGTTTGAAAGTATACTTTGTTAGACATAACCCAGAGTAGTATACCAGATACTTGATGCCTTATATTTTGTTCAGTCAGCAAACATTTATGTACCATATTGGAGTTGGAGGAGATAGAAAGGTAAGTGTAGTTCATCCTACCATTCACCTCATATAGTAGAAGAGGAAAAGACTTATAAACAGAAATATTACAAGTTAGAATATGTTAAGTACATAAAAGAAGTATAAAATGCTATGTGATTAAGTGAGTAGAAAATGGCACTTTTATATAAGAGGTAGCATTTTAGCTGGCCGTGGAAGTGTCGGTGGAATGCCCACAAATGGAGATAAGGCATTTCAGGTATTGGAAAGAATGTGAGTAAAAGGGGCAAAGGTGAAAAAAATGTGTATGGGGGGATAGTACACAATCCATTTTAGCTAGATTATAGAGTACTTAAAGGGAGAAAGAAGAGGAGATAAGGAGGGATAGATTGGAGCCAGTTTGTAGAGAGCCTTAGATGTCAGGCTAAGGAATATAGGCTTCACATCATAAGGAGTGGGGAGCTATTAAAAGTTTTTGAGCAGACAAAGAACATGAAGACCAATATGGGAATGATGTGTAGAGTGGATTGGAAAAGCTGTAGTGCTTTCTGATGGCAGGGGTTGGATTAGATGAGTTTTTTAAAAAAAATTATTTTTAGTTTTCAACATTCAGTTCCACAGGATTTTGAGTTCCAGATTTTCTCATCTCCCCTCCTCCCACTCTAAGATGGCATGCATTCTGAATAGCTTTTTCTCTAATCTGCCCTCCCTTCTATCATCACCCGCCTTTTCTTATCCCTTTCCTCTTCTGTTTTGTTTTGTTTTTTGGTTGGGCAGTGGAGGTTAAGTGCCTTGCCCCAGGGTCCCACAGCTAGTAAGCCTTACGTGTCTGAGGCTGGATTTGAACTCAGGTCCTTCCTGAATCTAGGGCTGGTGCTCTATCCACTGCACCACCTAGCTGCCCCTCCCTTTCTGTTTTCCTGTAGGGCAGGATAGATTTCTATACCCCTTTGCCTATGTATTTTATTTCCCAGTTGCATGTAAAAACAATTTTTAATATTCTTTTTTAAAAGTTTAAGTTCCAAATTCTCTCCCTTTCTCCCTCCCCACTCTCCCTCATTCAGAAGGCAGGCAATTCAATATAGGTTATACGTGTGTAGTCATGCCAAACACTTCCATAATAGTCATGTTGTGAAAGACTATATTTCCTTCCATCCTGTTCCGCCCCTCATTTTTTCTATTTTCTCCTTTGACCCTGTCCCTGCTCAAAAGTGTTTGCTTCTGATTACCTCCTCCCCCAATAAGCTCCCCCCATCCCCTTCCTCCCCTATTTTGTTATAGGGTAAGTAGATTTCCATACCCAATTGATTGTGTGTATGTTATTCCCTCCTTAAGCCAGATCCTATGAGAGTAAGATTCACTTATTCCCTCTTACCTCCCCCCTCTTCACCTCCACTGTAAAAGCTTTTTCTTGTCTTTTATGTGAGATAATTTACCCTATTCTACCTCTTCCTTTCTCCTTCTCCCTGTGCAATTTTCTCTCTCACCCCTAAATTTTATTTTTTAGGTGTCATCCTTTCATATTCAACTCAGTCTGTGCCCTTTTTCTACACACACACACACACACACACACACACACACACACACACACACACCACACACCCCCCTCCAGCTACCCTAATACTGAGAAAGGTCTCATGAGTTACAGATATCATCTTTCCATGTAGGAATAGAAACAGTTCAACTTTAGTGAAAGTCCCTTATGATTTCTCTTTCTTATTTACCTTTTGATGCTTCTCTTGAGTCTTGTATTTGAAAGTGAGATTTTCTATTGAGCTATGGTCTTTTCATCAAGAAAGTCCACTATTTCATTGAATGTCTGTTTTTTCTCCTGAAGGATTATATTCAGTTTTGCTGGAGTATTGGTTTTAATCCTGGCTCCTTTGACCCCTGGAATATCATATTCTAAGCCCTCTGATCCTTAATGTAGAAACTGCTAAATCTTGTTATCCTGATTATGTTTCCGCAATGTTTGAATTGTTTCTTTCTGGCTGCTTGCAATATTTTCTCCTTGACCCTAGGAACTCTGGAATTTGGTTATAATATTCCTAGGAGTTTTCCTTTGGGGATCTCTTTTAGAAGGTGATTGGTGGATTCTTTCAGTTTCTGGAATATCAGGGCAGTTTTCCTTGATGATTTCTTTCTTTCTTTCTTTCTTTCTTTCTTTCTTTCTTTCTTTCTTTCTTTTCTTTCTTTCTTTCTTTCTTTCTTTCTCTCTTTCTTTCTCTCTTTCTTTCTTTGTTCATTTTGTTTTTATTATAAAAAACAACAAAAACGTGTACCCGTACAAGCATTTTAAGAAATAATGAATACAAGATAAATCACAACGATGGTGAGTTATTAAACCCCTTTTCTATATACAAACACTAAAATTCCCCAAGTGGAACATCACCAAATGCGATTATACTCTACATATCAAAAATACACAGAGATCTGCTGGTTATCTCTGAATCTTTTATGTACATGTAGTTGATACATAAAACTGCATTTAGAGTTTAGTTTTACTTCTCAGATGTCCTTTTCTGCTACAATAAGATGAAATTGAACAGTTTTACTAAAATTTACAAATGAGGGAAAATAAGTTAAAATGAATTTCTGGTAGGAGCTTTGTCTTTTATTCCATCCAGAAGCCCACTAAAAACAAAAAATACAGTTTTGTAGCTCATTCCTAGGCTCAGTAGTGGAAGACTCTGCTATCCAAGTCTCTTTTAGCTATATAATTCTCTAGTCTATTTTTTTTTTGAGTACATAGTCCAGGAACTCTCAGTTCAGGAAGCAATAGCATTTTCATTTAGTTAGGTTAAATTTAAAATGCCACATTTTTTAAAAGCCAACACTAAAAAAAATACTTTCTGCAGCAAAAATGGGAAAGTTCAAGTTTTTGTTATCTGGTCATAATATAATACTTCAACCCATCGTTTAAAACATGTCAGGCTTATGAAATGTATAATCAATAATACAATAATTTTGTGAAGGACATCCCTTCTAGAATAAAGTCATTCCTACTTTTTCTTTTCTGCCTACAACAATAAGGAGTGTCTCTGTCCTTTGCCTGGTTTTGTTGTTGATATTGCTTTGATCATTTCTCAACTGAATCAACCAGCTCTTCTGATAAAGACAAAAAGTCACTTGGACAGATGCAGTGTCTTTCTCCTCCGTGATTTAGCTTAGGTCTCCTGCACACAACAAGTTGACTTCAGCTAAGCAGGTCATAACAGCAGGTGGGATGTTCTTTGTGGACGTTCTTGTCCAATTTTCTAGTACCTTGGACACTTCTGCTGGATTGCCGGGACTCAAGTCACAAAGAGCGTATGTGGCGGCTAACTGAATACTCCAGGATACATCTTCATTTGAATGTTGTGTGAACGTGCAAATCACAGAACTGGTATTTTTCACAGCAGAAGAAAATCCTTCCTTCAAACCTAGTTGGCCTAAATGACCTTTTTTCCAATTGGGAATGCTTGCTGGAAGAGGCAGGCTTTCATAAGCAATTAGCCAGAATACCTTGATAATTTCTTGAAAGATGATGTCTAGGCTCTTTTTTTGATCATGGCTTTCAGATAGTCCAATAATTTTTAAATTCTCTCTCATGGATCTGTTTTCCAGGTCAGTTGTTTTTCCAGTGAGATATTTCATATTGTTTTCTATTTTTTCATTGTTTTGGTTTTGTTTTAGAATTTCTTGAATTCTCATAGAGTGATTAGCTTCCATTGCTACATTCTCATTTTTAAGGAAGTATTTTCTTGTGTGAGCTTTTGGATCTCCTTTTCCATTTGGCCAGTTCTACTTTTTAAGGCATTCTTGTCCTCATTGGCTTTTTGGACCTCTCATGCCATTTGGCTTAGTCTTATTTTTTAGAGTGTTGTTTTCTTTAGTATATTTTTGGGTTTCCTTTAGCAAGCTGTTGACTTTGTTTTTCATGATTTTGTTGCATCACTCTCATTTCTCTTCCCAATTTTTCTTCTACTTCTCTTACTTGGTTTTCATAATCCTTTTTGAGCTCTTCCATGGCCTGAGACCAATTCATATTTTCCTTGGAGGCTTTGGATATAGGAACTTTGACTTTGTTGTCCTCTTCTGGTTGTATGTTTTGATCTTCTTTGTCACCAAAGTAAGATTCTGTAGTCTGAGTTTTTCCCCCACTTTTTGCTTATGCTCCCAGCCAATTACTTGACTTTTTAACTCTTTGTTAAGGTAGGGCTCTGCTTCCAGTGTGGAGGTGTACTGTCCCAAGCTTCGGGGGTTTTGTGCAGCTGTTTTCAGATAGTTCTAGGGACCTATAAATTTTCAGTTCTTCCAAGGTAGTATGATTAAAGGAGAGATGTTTACTTCTTTGCTGGCCTGTGCTCTGGTCTATGAGTGATGACAAGCACTCTTTTCTGCCTTGGAACTGTGAGGAGGATTACTTCTCTACCGCTGCCACAAGCTCTGCCACACCAGCACTCCTTCTCACCTCAGAACCCCCACCCAAGATTTCAACCCAGATTCAAGCATGGGCAAAGCAAGAGAACTAGCAAAGAGATCCCTGCAGTCCCCCTCTGATAGCTGTTCATTCCCACCACTGTCTGTGGGCCGAGAGCTCTGGAAGCACCTGCTAGAGCGGGGGCTGGACCAAGCTTCTCTCTCACCCACGTCCAGCAGACCTTTCCCACTGACCTTTTAAGTTGTGTTTGGCATTTGTGGGTTGAGAAGTCTGGAAATCTCCCGTGATTCAGTCTCTTGAGTCCTACTCTAGGTTTGTCTTTGCCTGTGTGGCCCATGCTGAACTGTACTCCTTTTCCAGGCCACTGCAATAGAACTTTCCTATCACCATCCAGTTGTCTTGGGCTGGAAATTTGTTTCACTCTATCCTTTTTTTTTTCTTTTTAGGCTATGCAGTGGGGTTAAGTGACTTGCCCAGGGTCATACAGCTGGTAAATATTATGTGTCTGAGGTCAGATTTGAACTCAGGGCCTCCTGAATCCAGGGCCGGTGCTCTATCCACTGTGCCACCTAGCTGCCCTCATTGTCTTTTTGTGGGTTCTGTCATTTTTTACAGGTATTTGGGAGGGGTTTGGGGGAGAGCTCAAGAGAGTCACTGCTTTTACTCTGCCGTCTTCGCTCTTCTCTGACTAAATGACTTCTTAATGTCTTTTAGTTATATGATGTCATGCTGTTCTCACACGTTGTCTAATGTAACTTAAAAAATATAGGGTGGTATTCAGTATCCCTTATTGCATATTCTTGTTTGGCTGTCAAAATCATTAGTCCTGTGTGCTACTCCCTTCAGTTTTAGAAGACTGGAGACAACCTCTTATTGCCATAGTGCAAGTGAGACATAATGAAAGCTTGAATAAGCATTTGTGGCAGAGGTACAGATATTTGGGTGTTTCCTTAACCTATTATCAGTAGTAGTTAAATATCTCTTGACCATTAAATAAATGCCTGTGTTTTTTCATATCTCCATTAACATAGATTTGGGATTATAGTGTTTTCTTTCTGGAAACCTTTTTAAAGGGAGACAGTATAGAGTAATGTAAAGGCTGCTAGACTTAAAGTCAGTAGAGACTTGTTTCACTTTCCACCTTGAAGACTTAATATCTGTGACTCTGGGCAAGTCTACCTCCTGGATATCAGTTTCTTCATCTGTAAATGGGAATGATAGTTGTACTCTCTACCTCATGGGAATTTTGTGAGGAAAGTGCTTTGTAATCTTTTAAGAAAATGTGTTATTTGTATTAGTAAATTAATAACACAATAATAAATTAATGATACAAACTATCTTCTCTTGGAGAAAATGTTTCTTGATGGTCCAACTGTGCGAAACTATGATATCTTATCAGCTTGCACAACATAAACATAGTGCACATCACTATAGTTTATCTACATTGCTGTAATCTCTACATATATAAAAAAATCACATTGATGTATGGTACTCCTAATTATTCCTGTATGGCTATCAAAATTGTTGATTTCCATTTGTGTTCCTTTGAAACATATTAATGAAATAATGCTCCTGACTCTTTTTAGATGCACAGGTAGGTATTTGGTTGGGAGGTGCCCCCAAATGAGCTTATTATTTTCCTTTATGTATATATGTATTTAAAACAGGCAGAGATTTCCATAGGTACTTTAACAATTTGTACAGGCATAGATTTTTTGTTGTAATAGTTTATGACAATTACAGTTGACTTTTCAGTTTCCTCATATTAGCCTTTATCACTTTCAACTTGTGTGACCCTGGGCTTCAGTCTCCTCTATAAAATGAGAGGATGGACTATGCTCTCTGAGGTCTCTGCTGCTCTAGTCTATAAAAGAAGTCTCGGTAGTTGGAGTAGAGCTCCCTTTACTGTACAGTTTAATTTAATTATATTTTTTAAGTCTTATTTGGTGCCTTTGGTTTACACATTTCAATTAAAGCCGTTTAACTATACACCTCTTACTCATCAATGAATCCTCCTACTAACAAAGAAAAATACCTGAACAAATCGACCAATATTGTAGCTGGCCCATGTCTGACAACATTTTACATTCATAGTCCCTGACCTCTGCTGAGTTAAGGCAATTGTATTTCATCAGCTATATCTGGGACCAAGATTGATTATTAAATTTAATCCAAGTTCAGCTGCCTTTAAGTCTGGATAGCTTTAAAATTAGGTTCCTGGTAGTACCATCTGCTTGTCAAATCTAAAATCTGTGTCTTCTTTAGTCATAAGGAGAGCTGTCAATTTGTGAAAAACTATTACATTTAACCTTAGTACAGATCCAGTCTACTGTACATATGCCCAGGTTCCAGTATATTTTCTTTTCCATCTAAATTTTAAGCTTTATGGTCCTACTTAGGTTATGGGTAATATAGCTCTAAAATTCTCTACCTCACCAACATGTCCAAAGAGTACGCTCTAGATATTTTAAACTGTGGTGGGTTTTTTTGTTTGTTTGAGGGTTTTTTTTTTTTAACTTGGAAGATTTTGAATGGTTTGGCTATATCTTGACCCTTGCCATCTCAAATGATAAATATTTGTAAAGTGCTTAGCACAGTGCCCAGCAAATTGTAAGAGCTATGTAAATGCTTATTCCCATCCCCTTCCCTTCGAAAAACTAGTATCCTTAACTTTTCTTATTTGGAGTCCTGCTTAGGTATCCTCTTTTTTTTTTTTTTTTAAGGTATCCTCTTTAACCCCAGAGATTAAAAACAAGTTTAGCCTTGACATAGAAAATTCATTTACTAGATGGAAATAACTTTTTTTTTTAGTCTTATAGTTAAATTTTCAAACCTTATCATAGAATCATAGATTTAGAGCTAGAGGGGATCTAGAATATGTGCAAGAAATATCCTTATCAATTCAGTCCCTTTGGCCTTTTTTGTTTCACAATATAGAATTTGAAGAAGCCAAGGCATGGGTGAAGACGGAATTGAATTTTGGAAAAAATGTGGATGTAAATCTGTTTGAGAGTACTATCCGAATTTTGGGTGGACTTCTGAGTACCTACCATTTATCTGGAGATAGTCTTTTTCTGGAAAAGGCAGTAAGTGATCTGAGTTTCCCAATTCAAGGTCCTTTTCTCTTCCCTTAAAAGTCACTGAATTGATATTCTTTCACTTGATTTTTGTTACTACCATGTGTAGGTTATACTCAGGGCTAATTTGATTATAATTTACTCCTTTAGCGTCATATTTAGCTATTTAATCACATCTTTGTGCCCATAATATGAGCTTGGCCCCCAATTGGTGCTTCTTCCACTTATAATTTTTTTAAGAAATGTGATTCAGTGGTAATTACAAATTGTATTTGAGTTTATATTGAGTCGGTTGGGTACAGGCAGATAACAATTCCTCACATTTCTATAGTGCCTACTAGTTTAGGTGGACTTTACCTTATTTAAGCCTTTTAGTAGTCCTGTAAGATAGGAATTATCCTTCATTTACATAAAAGAAAATTGAGTGTCAGCACGGTTTGGCAACTTGCCCAGCCAAAGTCACAGCATGCTAGTGACAGGACAAAGACAGAACCTTGGTCTTTTGAGCTCTCTTCTAGTGTTCCTTCCACTCTAGCTGTTTCCTCAGACACTATGGTTGCAGCTTGGTACATCACCAAGCAGCCCTCCTTACGTGAAAAAGGGGGGTAATACATTGGCAGAGCAGTGTATAAAAAAGGTAGATTCTTGAGGACTTCTATATGATTTATTGAATGTTTTCTTCCCTTTTTTATTAGAAAGATATTGGAAATCGGCTAATGCCAGCATTCAACACCCCCTCCAGGATCCCATACTCTGATGTAAACATTGGAAGTGGTGTTGCCCACCCTCCTCGGTGGACCTCTGATAGCACTGTGGCAGAGGTGACAAGTATCCAGCTGGAGTTTAGAGAGCTCTCTAGGCTCACTGGAGATATGAGATTCCAGGTATAGACCAACTGGTTATTTAGATTTTTCCCTCTCAGGAAAAGGGGAGCTTTTACCATGAGGCAGGACTTAAACTATTTATGGACCCCTTTCTTTAACTTTATCCTTTGCTAATTATTGCAAGAGGTTTGATTTTATAGTGTGCTACAATAGTTGTACAAAAAAATGTCAATAGCCTAGATCTCTGTTTGTAGTCCCAAATAAAGAGTATAAAACTAACTTAGCAGACATCATCATAAATTAGTGATCTGGCTAAGTTTGTTGGGATTGATTTGTTTCTAACAGGTCTTCATGGAGGAAAATAGTGATTAGGGGTGGGTTTCTCCCTTAGGTAGGAAAGATGGAAGTCATTTCTCTTTAACATTCTTTAAATCCCATAGGTTTATTAAAAGAGGCAAATAATTGCCTTTATTCCTTTGTATCTTTTCCTTATTGTGGTTCCCAGTTGGATTATCTGCTAATTTAAAAACAAAACAGTTTTTAGGTTTCAAAATCTCAACTTTTGGAACTGTTTGACTCTTTAATGACTCCAATTTGAGTTGAAAGTTCGTATATTTATTCTGGGTGAGCTACTTCTTTTAATATGTAATTTAGAAGCTGTTTTATAGGTGCATGGATTCAAGGAAGCTTAGAGCTGTACTGACCTTTAGAGATAATCTGGTTCATCTCTCATAATTGATGCTTTAAAGGTCATAATAAGGTTTGAAAACAGATTTGTTTTTCCTTTGCCTTCCAGGAAGCTATATGAATCAATAAAATTCAACAAGAATTCAGTAGAGATTTATTAATCATTTCATATCAGCCATTGGTCAGTGGCAGGCAACTTGTAAAGTAAAAGGCTACATAGTCATTAGGCTGAATAAAAATTGACTTAGGGACTTGAAAATTGTTAGGAAGGTAAATTAAGCTCTTCTGTACCCTATCAGAGAATACCTGCCAGCAGCTTGTCTGCCCCTAAATTACTTTAATGTTATGTACCAGTGTCTGAATTGCCTTTATAAACCTCATTTAGAGTAATCTGAGTTAAGCCTTTGTTAAATTCCAGCCAGGTGCTGTTTGGTTATGGGAAATGAAGGCTGCCAGGCAGCATTTGGCTTTTTTCGTGATGACCTGTTCTTCCAGCCTTAATTAGGAAGTAAAGCCTACTGAGGCAGACATTGACCTAGGTCAGAGATTGACCTAGCTAGTTCCTCTTTGACCTCTTGCTTTAGCTCTAGGACCATAACATTCACGTATTTGTTCTTCTCTACCTGTTTCCTCTTTTGAATGCTACAGACAGCTGTGGAAAAAGTGATGAAACATGTTCATTCCCTATCAGGGAAGAATGATGGCTTGGTTCCCATGTTTATCAATACCAACAGTGGCCTCTTTACTCACCTGGGAGTCTATACTCTAGGTGCCCGAGCTGACAGCTACTATGAATATTTGCTGAAGCAATGGATTCAGGGAGGAAAGAAAGAAAATGAGTGAGTTCTGCTTTCCCTACTTTTCAAATAAGGTCTTTGTGAATTCAATTTGTACTTTACCTCTCTACTGGCATTCCCAAGTTTGATTCACCAAACATTTTGTAAGTGTCTACTGTATTCAGAGCAGTGGGCAGACACTAGAAAAGATAATGAAATCTGGATAAGACATGGTTTCTGTACCACATGATTCTCGTGTCCTACTATGGTTCTGTGTCATGCAAGAATAATATAAAATAATAACGTAATTGCATTACAAATGTGCAAGCAAATTGAATTCTGAATGGGAAAGTCAGTTACTGAATAGGAGAACCATTCAAGGCTTTTTGGAGAAGATTTAACTTTTGAGTTGAGCTTTGCAGGATGATAAGAAGTCTGCAGGTGGGAGATGTGGGGGCAGGGTAAGATTCTAGGCACAGGGGAGACAGGTGTGAACAAAGGTAACAGTGGGGAAGCACAGTGTCTGTTCAGGAGAGGATGAATAGTACAGCTTGTCTGGAGTCTTACAGTACATAGAGAGGAGTTATAAAGCAGGAGAGACATCATGGTGCTGGTATGTGGAAGGCCACAGGAATTCTAAGCTAAAGAAATATAACTTCACTCAGATAGTAGTATGCCATTGGAGAATTTTAACCGAAGAATGATATGACTGGATATCCTGAGTAAGGATTAGTCTGGCAGCAGTATAAAGTAATCAGTGGGCAGAGACAGAATTGAAGACGAGAATGGGAAGACCTACAAGGACTCTGTGTTCCAGGTAAGTGGTAAAAAGGACCTTAGCAAGGTAGTGATAATGGGAATGGATCAAAGAGATGTTGTATAAGTAGAATTGATAGGACTTGGTAACTGATGATATCTCTCCCCTTTTCGTATCCAGTCATCTACCAAGTTCTGTCAGTTTTGCTTTTGCAGTAACATAGATAACACAATGCTTTTAAACATGTGAGACCGACAAGAATAATGATATTAGAATAGAATCCAGCGGTTTTTGTTTTGTTTTAAAGAGATCATAAGCTTGGGTTTGGAAATGTTGAATTTGAAATGATGACAGGATATATAGGTGGAGATGTCCTGTAGGTAGTTGTAGACAATTCTAGATTTGTTATGTCATTGGTTTAGGGCAAATAACCCATGTAAAAAACTCCCTCCACAAATTTGTTTTAACAGCTCCATTGTAACTTAATCTTAGGCAGTTGTCTAGGGCACTAAGTATTTAAGTGATTTAACCATGGTCGTAGACCTAGAAGGCAGTATTTGAACTGAGGGCTTTATGACTTCAAAGCCAAGCATCTATTCTGCTGGGCTGTCTTATTTGGAGATGTAGGTCTTAAAAATTAAAAAAAAAACTCTTGGTCACTAAATTGTTCTTTTTTTCTCCATCCATCGTTTTTTAAAATTAAATTTTATTTTATTTTTAGATCTGCATTCTCTTCCTTTCACCTTTCTTCCACATTGAGAAAGGAAATAAGCAACAACCTCACACCCCACCCCTGTTACAACAAATATGTGCAGTCAAACAAAAAAGTTTCCTACATTGGCCATATCCAAAAATTTTTCTTAATCTGGACTCCATCATGCCTTTATGAGGAGGTGGATAGCATTTTTTACCTTGAGTTCTCCTTTTTTTCTTTCTCTCTTTCTTTTTTTTTAGGCAATTGGGGTTAAGTGACTTGCCCAGGGTCACACAGCTAGTAAGTGTCAAGTGTTTGGTCTGAGGCTGGATTTGAACTCAGCTCCTTCTGACTTCAGGGCTGGTGCTCTATCCACTGCACCACCTACCTGCCCTTACCTTGAGTTCTCTAGAATTATGGCTGGTCATTTAAACACCGATATTCTTAACACTGGGACACTTCAGATTCTTAAGAAAAGTTTATAATATGACAAAAAAGGAAAATGACAAATGTTGGAGGAGATGTGGGAAAATTGAGACACTAATGCACTGTTAGTGGTGTTGTGTACTGATCTGGCCATTCTGGAGAGCAATTTGAAACTATGCCTAAAGGATTGTAAAACTTGTACACATCCTTTGATCCAGCAGTACCACTACTATATCCATATCCCGGAGAGATTTTTTAAAAAAATAGGAAAAGGACTTATATGTACAAGAATATTTAAAGCAGCTCTTTTAGTGTTGGCAAAGAATTGGAAATTGAGGGGATGCCCATCAGTTGGGGAATGACTGATTGTGATGGAATACTATTGTGCTATGAGAAGTGATGAGTAGGATGCTCTCAGAAAAACCTGGAAAGAGTTACATGAACTGATGTAGTGAAATCAGCAGAACCAGGAAAAACATTATACACAGTAACAGCAGTATCAACTGTGGATGCCTTAGCTATTCTCAGCAATACAAAGATCCAAAACAGTTGGACTTATGATGAAAAATACTATCAACCTTCAAAGAAAAAAACTGATGGAATATGAATGCAGATTGAAGCATATTGTTTTGTTTTTTACTTTCTTTATTTTTCTCATTTTTTTGTCCATTTTCTTTCACAGCATGACTAATATAGAAATATATTTTGCATGACTGCACATGTATAACCTTTATCTTGATGGGGCTGGGATAGGAGGGAGGATGGGAGAGAATTTGGAACTCATGGTATTTTAAAATGATTGTTTAAAATTGTTTTTACATGTAATTTAAAAAAATTCGTATCTTAGAGCAACTAGGTGGCGTAGTAGATAGAGCACTGGCCCTGGAGTCAGGAGGACCTGAGTTCAAATCCTGCCTCAGACATATAATACTTGCTAGCTGTGTGACTCTGGACAAGTCACTTAATCCCAGTTGCCTTGCCCCCCTTCCCCCCTAAAAAATTCCTGTCTCAAAAACAGAAAGATAGTATTATATTGAACCGTTTAATTGTTGATTAAAAAAAAGTAAATAACTCTTGGGGGAAAAGTGAGATCTAGATCACCTTTACCATAAAAACTTTGTTGACCCTCCCTATTGTTTTCTTTGACATTTAAATCAAATTTTATGTTGCTATCACTGTTCAATTTGGGGTTTCTAAAATATCTTTACCTTTGTAGTATTAAGAAATATTTTTCATAAGGTCTGTAAGGTAAAGCCTCAAGTGAGTTTGACTTCCCTGAGAGAACTATAGGATTTTATATGATCTTTTAAGGTAAGAAAGAAGATAAAACATGTATCTTTCTAGACAAAAGAAAAAGTTACACTAGGGTTCATCAGAGGCAAATTTAAAGTCTTATATTGTTACAAATAAAAACACTGGACTTGGTAGTAGAATAATAGGAAGTCCCGGCTCTAGCACTTAACTAACTAGTCGTATATCCTTGGGCAAATAACTTGGGCATCAGTTTCCTTGTCCATAAAATGGGAGTGATATATATATATATATATATGTATTATATTATATTATATATATATTATATATATATTATATATATATTATATATATATATAAGAATGACCCTGGTGGAAAATGCATTTGGTAAAGCGCTATAGAAATCTGTTCATTATATTAGTACTTGTTATTTCTTAGTTTGCAAACTCCCTTTCCCAATGTGGATCACAACTTACAATGTTTAGAGAATTGCTTTAGGTTCAGAGTAGTGAAATAACATATTCATGGTCATACAGTAGCTAGCAATGAGATGGAATTGGATCCCAGGTTTCTGAGGGCATTTTAATGTCAGCACTCAGCTGCATTTGTGTGTAAGTGCAGGCAAATCATCCACAGTCTTTTTGAGTCAGTCTTTACAAACTCCAAAAACTGCATTCCTACATGCTAGAAAAACATTTGTAGGGAAGACCAGACATATTTATTGTGTCCTTGAAAAGGCAGTTCAGCATTGTGGATAGAAGACTGGCCTCTGACACATACTGGCTTGTGACCCTGGGCGAGTTGCTTAAGTTCTTAATGTCCAAGGCGGCTTGATAAGACTAGAGATTGCAGAGCAAGTGGTAGTGGGACATTCCTTAGGAGCAAGTGCCCTGTGTAAGTGTAATCACAGGTCTTGTTTTCTACCCCACCCCTCCCAATCCTTGTTCTCAGTTGCAGCTCAAACGTGGGTCATAGGGATGTAGATGTCTGTGTGTATAAAATTGGGAAATTGTTTTAATTAACAGATTGCTGGAAGAGTATATTAATGCCATAGAAGGGGTCAAAAGACACCTACTTCGGAAATCTGAGCCCAGCAAGCTGACTTTTGTGGGTGAACTTGCTCATGGCCGCTTCAGGGCCAAGATGGTGAGTCTCCATACCCTTTGTTGCTTTATGGATGTGGTGATATTTTCCAAGAGTAGGGAACTTCATTGAGGCCAGTTGTGCAAGTAAAATTATATAAGATAAAATGCTCACGTTGAGTTCTTAACTATCATGAAAAGAATGTGAAAATGCCTGGCTCTGACCCACTAAAATCAGGAGGGAGAGAAGATCCTGATGGTAACACCCAGACACACCTTCAGGTAGATATTGCATACAGTTTCACAAAGTTCTAGTGCTGTAGTGTTATTATTTGGACAGGATTTGTTGTTATTGAAAGGAATAGATCATCTGAGTCATCAGGTTCTATACCAAGCAGCTTGGCTATATGTAGATCACAAGACATTTCTCTCCTTTTAGACAGATTTTCCCCACCTCTCCCAAATAAAGATCTATAGACTCCCACTGACTTGTGGCCAACAGAGCAACTTTAGAGTTAGTTGATCCTCTGACTTTGAATAAAGATAGTATTTTATGCCATGTCATGATATGTTAAATTGGGCTTGTTAGCAAGGAGTAAATGAAGAGTAAATGTTTCTTTATACTATTGCTTTAAAGGTTTTCCTGTTAAAGTTAATTACAATTTTTTTCTTAAGTTATTGCATCCCATTATGAAAGGATAGAAGCTTTGGTAGAATTTAAGTTGCTTATGTTAGGGTATTTAGCTAGAAAGTAATTCTAACTTAGCATGCTAATATTGTGGCTCTTACAGCTAATTCTCTTCTTCCTGCTTCAGTGTTACCCTCTTGGCCAGGTGTGGATATGCTCTTCAGCCTTGATTTTGAACTGTGGGCTAAATTAGCCAGAGTTGTCAGTGGGGAAATAGAGTGTTATCTTCCCTGTTGTATCCCAAAGGGTAGTGTGAAGTAAGGCTGACAGGAAAGTTGTGATTTTTGAGATTCTACTATTTACCATTCATCTCCAAAAATAGGTCAATGACTGTGACAACAGAAAAGCTATTGTTTAAAACAAACCTGTGAATGTAGCTGAGTTACATTGATAGAAGCATAATATCCAGAATGAGAGCTGTTAGTTTCTCCCTAGTCATTTGGAATATTGTATTTGATTCTCACTGTTATGTTTTAAAATGAACATTGACAAACCATAGCATGCCTAAAAAAAGAATTACAGGGCGCTTAGGGAGCCTGGAGGCCATGCAGTAGTACAAGAACGGGTTGAAGGAATTGGGGATGTTTGCCCTGAATAACAGATATGGGGGAAGGGTTATAGTTTGACTATCTCAAGCACCATCATATAGAAGAAGGCAGACTTAACCTACTCAGTTTGAGGGCAGAACTGAAAACAGTAGTGGAGGCTGCAAAGAGGCAGATTTCTGTTTGATTTTGAAATCATAGGGTCATAGATTTAGATCTGGGTTGGACCTTAGTGGTTATCTAGTCCAGCCTCCTCATCTTAGAGATGAGGGAACCGAGTCCTAGAGGAAAAGTTAGTACTGATCAAAAGTGGAATTGGCTGCCTCAGAAAGTGGTGCATTCCCCATATCTGAATAAATAATACAGCTTGGTTATCTTCCAAAAAAACCTCTTATTTCTGTTTCTCATGGATACCTAAGATTGGAAAAACAAATCATGCAATCTCAGTAATTCAACTATTAAGTGCCTGCTATGTGTGACATGTTCAAGGGCCCTAAATAGGAATTTTTGCACCTGGGGCTAGGACCCTGAGCTATGTCTAGGATAAACAGCACTCCTGGTGATAGACTCCTGGACACTATGAGGCCAACATAGGAGGGGGAAGTGGCCTCACTACTCCCACTATCAAAAGGAAACAGCCATTTGGTAGCTTCCCATTTTACTAATTATTCATGATAATAAAATGCTGAGATCAATTATTTTCACATGTATTGTCCACGAAGGGGCCCCGCCCCATTACTAGCAGGTGGGGCCAGTAGAATGGTAACCCTCATACCAAACTGATAGAAATATTTTGGGGAAGGAGGCTGAAGGAAGGGTTGAAAGCCCCCAGAAGGTATCAGTTTAGAGCTAGAAGGGACCTTGGGAATCATTAGTCCAGTGTCTTCATTTTTACAGAGGAAGAAGCTGAAGCTTCAGAGAGAAGTAACTTGTTAAAGGAGGCTTATTAATTTCTTGTTGAAATTGAGGCTGAGCTGAGGGGGAGACAGCCTAGATCTCCTGGACTCATAAGACTATTGGAATTAGAAGGGTCCTTAGAGACCCACCTTGTCCAATTCCTTTATTTTATAGAGGAGGAAACAGGCCCAGAGTTAGTTTTCAGAGCTCAGTTAGGTTGTTGTTGCTAGACTACTGAAGAGCTACTCTTACAGGATTGCTGAATCAGCTTCAGGCCTCCCTCCCCAACCTGTAGTGCACTCAGGTCTCTGGCCTCTCTCCCAGGTCAACTCCCAATGGATTAATCCATTCAGTTTTGGAATGCCCATCCTAGGACTGAGCAACCTTTTCTTGTGAGTGTATATTCACCTAGCTTTATATGTAGCTGTTTATGTTTCCCTTCCAACAAGCTGTCCACCTCAGCCATCTGTGTCCTCTTTTCCCATTCTTTCCCTTTCAGCCCTTCTCCCCCACCCCTCACCACGTATGGCTTCATGAAAGTGAATTTTGATTCACTTCTGTGTTCATTGTCTTCCTGTAGTAGAATTGCAAGTTCCTTGAGGGTAGAGATTGTTTCACCTTTTGTATTTGTATCCTTAGTGCTTAATACAGTACTTGGCATATAGTAAGCATTTGATGCTTTTTACTTTTTACAAAATTTGTTTATTTTATGAATTTTAAAACCACCAAGTAAAATGAACATTCCATATACATTGCAGAAGAAAGAAGGTTAAATGTACATGAAACTGCAAATCTGTTTTATATAGCTTGCTTTTCTTTTTAAATGTATAATAAATTCAACCTGTAGCTTTCAAAGCTGTTCTGCTTATCTGATTCTTTCTGCCTTCTTTTCTTCTCTACGTTAAAAAAAATCTTGCGCCAAAAAAAAGTCTTTATGACCTTGTCTTTTTTTTTTCTTCTGTTCTATATCCTCAACTCCTCCCCCACCCCACCTATTTGGAGGGGGAAAAAGGAGATAAAACAAAGCCCTGATAACATATATGCTTAGTCAAGCAAAACAAGTTCCCACATTGTCTATCTGGAAATGTTAATCTTACTCTGCCTCTTGAGGCTATCCCTTCTTTATCAAGATGTTGGTAACATGTTTCTTCAGTCCCTTAGAATTGTGGTTGGTTGTTACATAGATGAGAGTTCTTAAGTCTTTGAAAGTTGTTTTTCCTTTATAATGTTGTTGTACTTGTTCTCCTTGTTCTTCTGGTTCTGCTCACTTCACTTACAAGTCTTAGGTTTCTATGCATTTTCATTCATTTTCATCTGGTGTTACTCTTACTATCTTGTCTCTTTAACCTCACTTGTGCCTAAAACAGCCTTCCCTGCCTTTTCTCCTTCCTTAGGGTAGTACAAAGTCTGTCAGGTTTCTTAAATCATTAAATTTCTGACCCTGGGGCACATTTCTAATTTCTCCACCTTTTGGGGTAATCCTGTAGACTGAGGAACATGTAAAGTTGAATAGGACGTAGTTCCTACTCTAGAAGATGTAGAACATGTACTCCAAATGACAATTACAAAATAGTCTATGATAGAGATAAAGTGGTGTGGGAACTTTGAGGAGAGCGGCATCATTGTCAGTGTGGGAGAAGGGGAATCATGGTGGAGAGAGTGTTTGAGCTGAGGGTGGAGGATGAATATTATATCACCAGACAGAAGTGATAAACTCAAGGTACAGAATGAGATGTTTTAGATATAGCCAGTGTAGGTGTTGATTTTGCTTGACTTTGCATAGCTGGTATAATGATTTTATTTTTCTTTTGATTTGTGGAGAGGTAAGGATGCGGGAAGGGGAGAGAGAACCAACAACAATGTTGGGATTATTAAAATGGGAGGAAAAGCAAGAATTGTGGGTCATCGAGGCATTGTAAAAATGTAGAAGAGAACACAATGACGGTCAATAGGAAGAATAGGTAGCTTTGGAAATAATGTGTTGAATTTATTATATGCTTAAAGAGAAAAGCAAACTGTTTATGGCTTCTGCCCTGTGTGGGGAAATGTTCACATTTGATATGGGTTAAATTCGAATTTTGAGAAATAAGCAGAGATTGGTGGGGGGATGGATTGGTGATGATATTCTCTGTGGAGAAGGAAATGGCAAACCACTCCAGTACCTTTGCCAAGAAAAACTCAAATGGGTCATGAAGAGTTGGACGTGACTGAAATGACTAAACAGCATATGTGGGGAACAGCCTGAATATCCATAGAGATGATGGGCAAATGTGGGAAGCGTTTGAACAGTGAGTCGTCTATTTTGACTAGAGTGTAGAGTACACGATGGGAAATAGTGAGAAAGGAGTCTGCAAAGGTAAGATCATAACATAGTTTTAGAGCTGGAATGAACCTTGGAAGTCATCTGGTCCATCCCCTTCACTTTAGAGATGAGGAAACTGAGGCCCAAAGAGGTTTAAACGACTTGCCCAACGTTACACAGGTAGTAAGTGCCAGAGGTGAGATTTGAATCCAGGTCCTGTGGTTCTAAATCGAGCACTCTTTCCAGCACAGTTCCGGGTGGTGGAGGGCCTCAAAAGTAGACTAACATGTTTGGACTTTATTTGATGGACAGTAGGGAGTTACTAAGGCCTTTTTTTCCTTTTTCTTTTTTTTTTCTTTAGAATAGTGTAATGAAATAATTAAGTCTGTACAAGAGAAGTATTAGTCTGAAAGATATACATGGGATCAGTTAGAAGGAGGAAAGACCTGAAGTTGAAAGGCTGATTGTAATTTTGTAGGTATGGCAACTCCATCTATTAAAGCCAGGAGTGATGACGGCATGGGTGTGAGTTGTGGAAGAGAAAGGCATGAATGTAGAACATGTGGTAGAAGTGGAGACAGGACTTGGCAACTAAATTTGGCAAATGAGTGATAGGAACTCAGAGATGATGCCGAGGGTTGCTTGAGAGGATGAGGAAACTATAGATAAGTGTAATTCTACTGTTAACATTAGTAGATGGACTTTTGACAATTCAAGTTTTGTTTCTATTTGGCCTTGGAAAGTATTTTGTTACTTTAATTTGAATGTGGCTGTAACCCACCAGGAAATCCACGAGACTAAATGAAGTAACAATGTAAAGACAGACCTGATTTAGGAGAATATAATTCTCCAGCTTTCTCCATCCTCCTTATTTCTCATTTCAGAAGTAAGACTTTTTCTCAGACTTATGTCAAGATGCTAGCCCAAGTAGAATACCCTCGGTATCCTCTTTTAAGTATTTTTGTTAAAAAAGGTGGTCCTTTTTAGGTCCTGTTAGATTGTGCAGGCAGAATGAGAGAGTAAGGGAAAATGTTAACCAAGAAGATGAAAACAAGATTTGCCAGAGATAGACCAAAATGTGTAGAATCAGGAGGAAACTATGTATGTATTTATATCTTAGTTTGGAAACAGATCCTAATTTTCAGTATCTAAACCAGTGCCTGGGCCTGTGAGTGTCTGATGAATGGTACTAGTGGACTGTGCTCAAAATGGCCACTTCAACATTGTTGAGGGTTTCAGTGGTTTTAAAAAACTTCTAACTTTCAGGATCACCTGGTGTGCTTCTTGCCTGGTACTCTGGCTCTTGGAGCTCATAATGGATTAACAGCTGATCATATGGAACTGGCCAAAGCTCTCATAGAAACTTGTTACCAGATGTATCACCAGATAGAAACTGGCCTGAGCCCAGAGATTGTGTACTTCAACATTCATCCTCAGAAAGGCCATAAAGATGTGGAGGTCAAGGTAAGATGATGGTTTGATCTGGAAGCCTCTGGTAAAGGAAACAATGGCCCACTTTTCAGCTTCTTTCAACTCTCTGAGTTAATAATCATTGTTTTCCTCTCTAGTCTTCAGATAGGCATAATCTGCTTCGACCTGAGACAATAGAGAGCCTTTTCTATCTATATCGGTTTACTGGTGACAAGAAATACCAGGACTGGGGCTGGGAGATCTTGCAGAACTTCAACAAGTACACAAGGGTGAGGCCACATTTACAAACTGCTCTGAATGTTTAATGGAGAAGGGTTTAGGCCCAGAGTTCTCAGGCTTCCTTCATCCCTTTATTAAGTCTGGAGAGAGAATAATTTATAAAATGTTGAGGGAATCTTAAAAGAATTATAGAAGTGTAAGTAATTATATCTGTTATTATTTATACCTGCAGTGAGCTTGGTTAGTTACTTTCTGGCAATTTCCATAGGTGGGAAGAGTGGTAGAAAGTTGATGCTAGGTACATTACCAGAAGCGTCTTTAGGGGTGTGTGTATGAGGTATGCCTGGGAGATTATCAAGTTAATTCTGGTTCTTTGTATGTTTTTTTCCTCCAATAGTTAGTCTCTCACTTGTGCACCTGTAAATCTCCTCTGGGGTACTTACTTCTAACCTCTTGTTTCTAAACTTTCACTCCATGAAAATCTTATTTTGTTTTCTTTAATGTGCAGGAATGCAGTTTGTCCAATTAACCCTTTTGCTTCTGGGTAGGATTTCCAAGTGTCAAGGAGAAAAGGTTCCCTTTATACTTTTTTACACTTTGACCTTTATTTTTGTTTGGTGGGGTTTTTTCCTTAATTAAAAACAAAATTTAACAAGCATTTTTTTTCTCCTGTCTTTCCCCCCTCCCTTAAAAAATTCCTTGTAACAAATATGGATAGCCAAACAAAACAAATTCCCCCATCAGCTATGTCCAGAAATGTATGTCTCATTCTTTCAGGAGCTGGGTGGCATGTAGGACTTGTCTTCTTTAATGTGATGTATGACTAAGCTAACATTGTAATATATGGTCTGTTCTTTGGGGTTCAGAGAGAAACAGGAGAAGAGAATGCTAGACATTGAAAGACCTGAATTCAAAGAGGGCCTCACACACTAGCTGTGGAACCCTGGGCAAATTACTTAACCTCTGCCCCAATTTCTTCCGCTTTAATGGGGAATGGTATGCTTCTTGCTTAGTTAGCATTCCCTCACAGGGTCCAGGGTTGGTGTGAGCATAAAATCAGACACATTTGTAAAGTGCTTAGCACAGTGCCTAGCATATAGTGAGGAGCTTAATAAATGCTCTCCCCTCAGTGGTGTTGGGGTATTTCTGCTGCAGCCCAGCTGGGTTCTGGGACATCTTGGGGTCAGGAGAGGTTTTGTTATTGACCATACTTTGGGGTAAAGGGAAAATATCCCTTGAAGGCTCTTTGGGGAGGGATTGCTTGATGGGTGGCCCTTTTTAAGAAAGGAAACTTTTGATGAATTCACAGAACTACATTGGTGAGTAAAAGGAAAGCAACTAGTTCTTCTTCCAGATAACTTTGTTGGGTGAAGTGCTATTTTAAAGGTCTACAGTTGAATAAATGTTGACCTTTTGGGCTCATCTTCTAAGGCACTCTTTCTTCCCTACTGAGCTTGCACTGCAAAATGTCTGTTGTAAAGTGTGTTATGGTATGAAATGAGTACTTTTTAGCTTTGCTTCGGAAAGGGAGCATGGATTGTGTTGATTGCAAGTTCACATTCTGAAGGGTTGTGTTTTTTTTTTCTTCCAAAGCTATTTCTGATCCCCTGACCATTTCCCATTCATAGACTAGGCAGAAAGTTAATTTGCATATACTTGAGATAACTTCTACATACGTTTCCATAGTTTAAACATGAACCTGTTAGCAGTAGCTTCCAGATATTTTTGCCCACTTTTGTCTTACTGTGGCTCTGGCCTGGATTTTATAGTGAAAGTGACAACACTGTGATTCTTATTTGCAGGTCCCTGCAGGTGGTTATTCTTCTATTGATAATGTCCAGAGTCCCAGCAACCCGCAGCCAAGAGATAAGATGGAAAGCTTCTTTCTGGGAGAAACCTTGAAGTATTTTTTTCTGCTATTTTCTGATGATATGGACCTAATCAACCTTGACCAATATGTATTTAATACAGAGGCTCATCCTCTTCCCATCTGGGCCCCTGCTTAACAGAAATCCAGGAGAAACAGACCCTTGTGGAGGGGGGACAACTTCTCCTGGTCATGGGGCCTTTCCCAGGTGAGCAGGGGTTGTACACAGCACAATTTTCAGGCTTTCCTGGAGGACCAAATGTGGGAAAGCCTTTCTCCGCTTTGGAGAAATCAGCCATTCTTAGAAATCCAGCCGTGAAGTGTGTGCTGCACCCAGCTGCTGGGAGCCAGATGAAATCCGACTCAGGGCTGAAGCAGTGGGAAGTGGGATGCCTAGTCCAGAGGGACCACCAGGGCCTGAGCCATCTTGTGCCATTTTCCTTAGGAGTCCCTGATTCAGCGGGTTGTGCACACTGGCTTTAGGGGCTTCTTTCCCCTCAGGTTTTCAAATCATAGATTCAGCTAGAATGAGAAAGAATAAGTCAGCAACTTGTAGTTCTAGGATAAGGCTATAGTCCTGACTTAGAGATGGAATAAGCAAGAAGTCATTCTGCCTTCATCAGATAATTGTAGTGTGCTTAGCAGTGATTCCAGACACTCTGATCTCACTCCACAAATACAAAACAGTGTAGTCATTTGGAAAAGAAAATGGCTTAAGAAGCATTTCTAGTGTCATTGTTCAGAAAGCACTGTGAATGTATCCATGAAGGACACGGGGTTCCTTGTAGAAAGTTAAGTATGGGAATCGCTGCTGGTTTGGCATCGTCGTATATAATTTTATAGCTGTGTTTCCTTTTTGTTTTTTTTTTTAAACATATAAGACTCAATGTGAAACAAAGTCAAAAATTGCTCATACATTTGTATTTGCATCAGTTAGACTCAGGTATTCTGACTGGAAAGGCTGCTTTGTGGTGCTGAGCTAGGAGGGCGTAGTTAGTCTAACTCAGCCTTGTCTTACTTTCCTCTCTCCCTTTGCCATATTCCCCCATTGGGGTGTACCAGGCTTGATCCAGGCCAGTGTAAATTCCTATAACCTGTAATGTCTTACTTATTTGTACTGAAAGGGTTTTAATAAGTCTGCTTGTGGGATAAAGGACATTTCCTCTAAAGGACAGTTTCTCTTTGGGGTTGACTTGTTGAAATTACACGATTTTATCATGGAATCCTTGTTGAAACATTCTTTCCCCCAAATGTGCATAGATTTAGTAGGGATTGTAGCTGACATAGAAGTGAGAAAAGATCACAGTCAGTGCCGCAGAATAGAGTCTTGTGCTGGCCCAGTGTCATGTGAACCAAGAGCCTTCTAATTTCCTGGCAGTCAGTGGAGCCCTACTAGGTCTTCTCTTTTGAAAGAGCGGCCCCTCACTCTACCCAAATGAGTAAATGCAAATAGCAATTTTCTACAAGTTGGGAAACAGCTTGGAACATTGGATAGTTAACTGTTGCTAAGTGGACATGACCTTTCTTCCTTAGTTGGGTGAAACTGGTCAACAGTGTGGGACCATATAATTTTTGATGACACTGTTTTATCATTCCTTCTAGTGATAGCTCATGTGTAAAGTCATTTCTGCAGTAAATAGGATTTATTTGAACATTTCATAAAGCCATGATGCTAGAAATTGGGAATGTCTTGCCATGACTAGATAATATGTGGTTTCCTATTTTGAAAAACTTAGGAAGGATGTGCATTCATGAATGGGGGTTCACAAATAGGGAGACACATAGAGTGATGTGAATTTTCCCATGAGGTATGGAGGCTGGACCGTGGAAGTCATTTTCAGTCAAGCTGCATTGTCTGGTTTATGTCTACATTGGACGACTTTGTACACTGTGAAAAAAATATGCTAAGTGCTATTAGAATGTGGGAGGTTAGATGAGTGGTGTCTTTTCCTTTTCTTTACATAAATACATGAATTTTCGCTAACTCTGTCCTATCACTACTCCTGTTTCCTGGAACAAATGCTTATTTGAGTTGATTTTTCTTTTGTGTTGTGGGTGGTAGGAGAATGGAGAGGAGAGCATATATACCCAGTGCTGGCAGAATTGGTAATGATCTTTCTTGGTTTGTTGAAAGCACCCTTTCCCTGGATGAATTCCTCAAAAATGAACTGAATCGAACCAGATTAGTGTACCTCTGTACTCCTTCACTTCAGTGTTTCACTTTGGGGAGGAAATTAAAAGTGAGGAAGATGCTATTTTTATGGAAACTTTAAGAAAGGTCATGTTATCTGAGCTCCACAGATAGGCTCTGAAATCATATTTCAATCAACAAAGCCCTAATCCTAATTTCTCTGGCCAAAATTGCTCCCTAAGGACCATTATTCAGGTGGGAGGCAGCTTAGTGAAGAAAGAACACTGAAAAGCTGATTAAGTCTGGAGAGTCTCAGATCTGCCAGTATCTGTTTGACTTTGAGCAATGCACATTGTCTCTGGCTCTCAGTGGAGGGAATTGAACTAGGTGATCTCTATGGTCCCTTCTGGTTATAAAACTAAATGACTGGGTGGTATTTTGATCTCTAGTACCTTCATCTTCAACCAAAGGGAAAAAATGTGCCCTGGTGTCCTCAAAGTGGGAGGATACTGCTAAAAGTAAATTTGTAGCCACAGAATGTAAAAAGCATCGAACTTAGAATCAGAAGACCTGGGCTAGGACCCAGGGCTCCTTACTCACAGGCCAATGTAATCTATTACACCTTGTCATACAGAAATTAATGTGCAAAAGAAACCCTAGGTCCTGTGGGGAAAGGGGAGGATTTTATTCCATGTTCTGAATCACCAAATAATGGAGTTCTATATTATACATTTTATTAAACTTATAACTTATTTTAAGAGATTGTGTAGTGTGTTCATTAAAAACCTCAACAACTGTTTCCTGGTAATCTGTTCTGGTGATTTCTAGGTCCCTGACTTGAATATTCCTCTTTGTTACAAGTTTTTTGCTGTTTCATAGTGATATGCTAGAGGTTGTGTTTACTTATATGTACTTAGGTATTGGAAGGCAGATATCTCTATGACCACCCCTTGTGAACTTAGTAAAGGCAAGGGATGGCTCCTGGGATAGGTATCTGTACCCATATGTCAAAAGCCAAATCCCATTTAGGTAAGTAAAATCAGTAGAAAAAGGCTGTTTTAGAACACATAATTGAGTCATCTACACAGATGACTCCCGAATTTATAGATCCAGCCCTAATCACTCCTGAACTTAGTCACATGTTGTCAACAGCCTACCAAATAGCTCATCCTAAATGTTGCATAGAGCCTTGATTTATCAAACCCAACAAGTCCTAAAATGAAATCTCATCCTAAACCTGCCCCTTCTCTAAACTTCCTTTATTTTCTCATGGGGTCACCAGCATCCTCCCAGTCTTACAGGTTTGTGGCCTCATAGTCTTCCTTAACTTTTCCCTTTCTCCTTTATTCCATGTCCAGTTACCTAGTCTTGTTGATTCTATCTCTACATCGTTTGTATCTGGCCCTATCTCTCCCATCAGTCATAGCCTCCTTCAGGCCTGGTCTCTCCCGTCTCTAATCCATTCTCCACACAGCTGCGAATATGATCTACCCAGAGCTCTCATCTGACTGTGTGTACTAGTTAGGTTCAGTATATCAAGGAAAGAGAAAGATACAAGACCCATCTTCAGGGCTCAATATAGGAAATAAGTTTTAGAGCTTATTTAACATAGGGTTAAACCACAGGATGTTGTCAGGGGTGGCACAAGATGATGTGCCAACCGTAGCCACACACGTGCCACATGATATACGTATATGCACACCCTTTTTTCACCTGGAGAAGTGACTTTGCATGTTGCACAAGTAGCTTTTCCTACAAAGTCTCTTCTCTAAGTCCACAGGTCTTAAAAGGATTTGTAAAGATCAGCTTAAATGCAAAAATTGGCAGAATTCTTTAGGCCTCCCCTTGGATGATCTACCTTGGTGTTTCGTAATCCCAGTCAGGTCACTTCCTCGCTAAGAAACTCCTTAGTCTGGCCCCTACGTGTTACTGTACCTTTCTGACCTCACTTCTCAGTACTCTCCTTCACAGCACACATGTTCCACCCAAGAGGGACTTCTGTGTGTTCACCAGAACTTGTTCTGATATCTTCCTCTGTGTACTTCTGGCCACCCCCATACATGGAACACTCCCTAATCACCTTTATCCCAAAGAATCCTTGGGTTTCCATTAAATTGTCCTCACTTCTTTTATGTGAAACAGGGTATATGAAACAGTGGTTCAAAGCTACCCTGACTATTGGGGTACCCCACATAGATTTGTGTAAACCTTTATATCCCTCCTGGCACACTGTATGCTTGTGATCGATGACTGTTGATTTGGCGACCTTCCGTTCTTGTTACAGTAAGCACACAAGGCTCTTGTCTAGAAGCCAGGTGAAATTTTATTGCTGTTCATTACAGAGACAATGTGGTGTGACTCCTCCTACGTAGTCCTGACTGACTGAACCTTCACTCTTCTGCTTAGCCTTCTGCAGCAGCATGGTACTGTCTGTTACTCAGAGTTGGGGGAGAGAAAATTCCAGTTTCTATTATAGTTGGGGGGTGGGAGTGGCAGAGGACACCCATGGCTAACTTCAATTCATCTACCTTTAGAGAACCAGAATATTGTAAAAGCTTACCCCTAGTAAAGGTAAAGGGTTCCTCTTTTTTTGTTTTGTTTTGTTTTAGGGGGACACACATTGCTACCTCTCCTCCCCCAGATTCTCTAAAATGCAAAGCTTGAGCTATATGGGAGCAGCAAGGAAGGGGGAGGTTTTGTCAAGTAGGTCCAGTTAGGAGAGAACCCCGTGTGCAGATACTTCATCACAGCCCAGATGCCACAGACTAGTGGAGATTGTCGCCAAGCCTTGTGATGATCCTGCTCATGAGTTTAGGAAGCGGAATATTTGATCCTGGGGGACTGAGCTTATCAAGCTGTAGTCCTTGTCTGAGACAGTCATAGGACTTTGAAAGTTTAACCCTGAGGATGAATAGACATCTAAAGCCTCTACTTTGGGCTCGGCTTCAGAAACAGTCCTGTGGGCTGGCACTGAAGATAGAGTCCCACCCAGTATGGCAAAGTTTCCAGGTTTTGGAGGTCATGTTACTGTTTATGTCTTCCTGCTTCCACCCATTCATGGATATATTCAGCTTCTAGCTTCCGGACCTCTATGACAGAGATGGGGTCTGCTGGATTGGACCCTCTGGAACAGGCAACAAAGGCAGGAAAGGTGAGTATTCTGCTTACCCTGTGCTGGGCCTTTGGGAGGTCCTCCAGCCCAGAGTTTGGTGAGAGGGGAAACAGGATTATGAGGAGGCATGCAGGGCTGAAGAGGGGTAGAGACTGTGGCCTGAGAGTGTTTCTAAAACCCTGGGATCAAACTAGTGATTCTGACTTCAATCACATCATCTTCTAACCACTGAGTCATACTCTGTACTTTGCTACCATGCTTCAGCTACCTTCTCTCCTGCCCTTTGGCCCCCCTCTTTCTTTGGTGAGTTCTCCTGGGAACCTCCAGTTTGAGGAAAGGTCTAGAACCAGCATTACTCTAGACTTCACCACCATGTTCTCATGGGATACCTTTCCCTCCCTGCCTCCTGTTTTCAGCTTCTGCTTGTGTTGTCCTCCCCACCCCCCAACTCCTTGATGGCAGGCACCATGTTTATTTTTTACTTGTGTATGTATTCCAAGCGCTTAGCAAAGTGCTTGGCACATAATAAACACCTAATAAATGCTTGCCTTCCTTAACCGCGCAAGATCTATTTCAGCCCATTGCAGAGAGTTACCTTCTCCTATCTAAGCCCCACTTATCCTTAAGGATCCTGCTCAAATGTCAACTCTGTGTAGCCTTGTCTGATTCCTTGCCCACAAGCACTTTTTACCTTTTCCCCCCTTTGTTTTTGGAGGGGGGATCCAAACTAGTGATTTTACTAGCAGAGGAAAACAGCCCTGCAATGCAGAATGGTACTTTTTCTGCATCTTCGTCTTAAGAGGGTTGTTTGAGGCACCAGAAGGTTAAAGAACGTGGCTGTAGTCACAGCCAGTATGTATCTGAGGCATACTTGAGCCCAGGCCTTATCAACTCAGGGTGAACTTTATCTCCACACACACCTCTTGTGAGGCTTTTATTCTACTCTGTAGTATGGTGTATCATTTCATTTAGCCTGTTAAGTTCCTGAGAGCAGGGACTGTGCCTTATTTGTCTTTGTATTCTCACAGGCAATTTGCACACGGCAGGCTCTTTATTTGTTGGATCAATTGAATAAAATATTTTATAAAAATTTGTTGATTTTGAACACTGTCTAGACACCTGTTAGCTTTAGGATGACCCCTAGGCATCACCCACCATGGCCCTAGAAACTAGATGACACCCCCCATTTTGCTCTTGGTGGAATACAGACTGAGAGGAAATTCAAGAAGCCCATGCTCCCCTACCTGAGATCTAGATGATGAGCTCCGCCCCGGATGGTGAGAGAGATCAAGGAAGAACTCAGATTACTCCTTATCTGTTCAGAAGAAAGAAACCCCCGGGAAAAGATGGCAACAGTGACTCATGCAGAATAGTACAGCACCAAACCTCTGGGGTGCTTTCCACAACTAGACAGAGATAGTCAAGAAAGAGGCAAGAGGTTCATTCAAACCTTAGCCCTGTGTGTCAGTCCCTATGGCGAAAGCTGAGCTTGCCTTGTTTGGTTCCTACCAGAATGGAAGTAGGGAGAGTTGAAGGTTCCTGGATCAGATCAATGGCAGAAAATATTTGAGAAGGATAGAAGCTAGTACCCAGCCTAGGTAAAGGAAAGGGAGATGGCTTTTCCTGCCATGAAGCACAGGCTTACCAGATACTTACCCCACCCCCTGCCCAGGGATCCAGGTCTCCATTTGAAAATATGATGTTGCTTGCAGCTTTGAGATCTGAATAGGATAGGCCAGGGTATGAGCAAAACAGGTGAAGGCCAAAACTTATTCACTGGAAACAAACTATTTGCTTATTAGGATTCAGGAAAGCTCCAGTGATACAATGTAGAATCCTGAGATCAGGGGCATGTCTGGAGGAATTATAGTTGGCTCCTGCAGCCCTTATTTTTGGGGGTACCTCAAGTAGGCTGGGGCATTCATGGTTGAGTGGAATAGAACCCATGGAAAATGGACTGTTAACCTTTACAAGTTTTAACAGTGCAGGTGAGAAGTGACCAATGACTTACTATTCCCCCAGAAGTTGGTCTGCATCCAGCTTTTCCGGGGCCTGACACCCCACCTATCAAAACAATACTTCTCTCGGAGATCACTGGTGAATGGGATCTCAGGGAACATGTCAGTTACATTATTACTGTCAAAGGTGAGGTTGATCTCAGTGCAGGCCTGAAAAATGTCCCGTCCCAAAACATACCAGGTCAGGGCAGGTTCACCATATAGGGAAGTTTTCCATCCAGTCAGTCACCCACCCAACTGTCCCCAGCCCTGTACCTGATAATCCCAGGCCTCTGCACTAGGGCCTGTGCCACAACCCGTGGGGTCAGCACACTTTTGGTAAAGTTTGTAGATATCATAACATGGCTCTGTACCAGAAGCATTGTAAAGCAGTCCTAAGAGGATGGAAAGAAGAGGGTTTGGAACATAACATGACTGGCCTGCATGCCATCACATGGGTGTTAGGAGCTGTAGAAGAATTTCACATTCCAAATAATTTAATGGACAAGATTCATTACCTCTTTTCTTCCCATCCACCCTCTGCCAACTTAAATAATACTGCACACCCAAGGTTTTTTCCACAGGTGGTATTTCAAGAATTCTGCCTGCTCTAGCTACTTCTACCTTTCAAGTAAAATTTAGATACAGG